CATCTATATCCGAAATGGATACAAATGGATACATTGTTGCAACCGCAAGACTTTATTCATGTCAAATATAATAGCGGAGCTCTCTGCAGAGACAGAAGTAATTAAATGCCGGCGTAGATGGGATGAAAATGAGCCGATTTTTTTTTTACCGTCGGTGGTAACGTCAGCCAATCGAACGACCAATTTTCCTTCTTTTTTTTTTTTAAAAAATGACCATTTTTTAACCCATCTGGGGCCTGCATAAGAGACATAATAATAGCAGATTTGTGATCACAATTGCATGGAATTGCATACAGGATCATACAGATGGTAATCTACAGTCAAGCATCCGACGCGTTTCGAGAGCAATGGACTTTCCTTCTTCTTATGTTGCTAGAGTGATATAATTTTTTTTGGGGGGGGGGGTCTATTTTTTATGGCTGCTGAAGGATCTTTTGATGCTGGCTGCTGGGAGATTTAATATTGTTGGTGGGTCTATTGTTGCTGGGGGATGAGGCATTTTGTTGCATGGGATCTATTGTTGATGTGGGTGTCTATTGTTACTGGGGGAAGGGGGTCTATTGCTGCTGTAGGAGATCTATTGTTTTGGGAAATATATTGTTCCTGGGGGAAGGGGTTTTTTTTTTGTTGCAGGGGGTCTATTGTTGCTGTTGGAGGTCTATTGTTACTGGGGGAGGGGATATTTTATTGCTGGGGATCTATTGTTGCTGGGGGAAGGGGATATTTTGTTGTGGAAAATCTATTGTTGCTGGGGGAAAGGGGTATTTTGTTGCAGGGGGTCCATTGATGATGTGGGGATCTATTGTTGCTGGGGGAAGGGGGTATTTTGGGGGTATTTTTTTGAAGGGGATCTATTGTTGCTGTTTGGAGGGGTATATTGTTACTGGCTGGGGGAGGGGATATTTTATTGCTGGGGATCTATTGTTGCTGGGGGAAGGGGATATTTTGTTGTGGGAAATCGATCGTTGCTGGGGGAAAGGGGTATTTTGTTGCAGGGAGTCTATTGTTGCTGTAAGAGGGCTATTGTTGCTGGGGGAGGGGGTATTTTGTAGCTGGGGATCTATTGTTGCTGGGGGAGGGGTATTTTGTTGCTGGGGATCTATTGTATTGTTGCTGGGGAAGGGGGTATTTTGTTGCTGGGGATCTATTGTTGCTGGGGAAAGGGGGTATTTTGTTGTGGGAAATCTATTGTTGCTGAGGGAAGAGGGTATTTGTTGAAGGGGATCTATTGTTGCTGTTGGAAGTCTATTTTTGCTGGGGGAGGGGGCCATTTGTTGCAGGGATCTATTGCTGCTGGGGGAGTGGGTCTTTTGTTGCTGGTGAACTATTGTTTCTGGGGAAGAGGGATCTATTGTTGCTGAGGGAAGAGGGTATTTGTTGAATGGAATCTACTGTTACTGTTGGAATTCTTTTGTTTTTGGGGGAGGGGGTCTTTTGTTGCAAGGATCTATTGCTGCTGGGGGAATGGCGTATTTTGTTGTGGGAAATCGATTGTTGCTGGGGGAGTGGGTTTTTGTTGCTGGGGATCTATTGTTTCTGGGTAAAATTGGATTTATTGTTGCCGGGGGAAGAGAGTATTGTGTTGTGGTGGATCTATTGTTGCAGAAGATATATTGTTTCTGGGGGGAAGGGATATTTTGTTGTGGGGAATCTGTTGTTGTTGGGAGGGGGTCTATTGTTGATGGGGGATATATTGTTGATGGGGGGATCTATTGTTGTTGGGGAGTCCATTGTTCCTGGTTACTGGCGATCTATTTTTACTGGTTTTCTTGTTATCAGTAACAAATTCCACAGGAATGATGCTTGGAGGTGGGTAGGGGGCGGGATAAACGTACGGAATGTACTATAGTCAGCCATTGCATCCCTGAAGAAGAGACGTCTATTGATCTCAATATGTGTCGGATGTTTGACTGTCAGTTACCATCTGTATGATCCTGGATGCAATTCCATGCAATTTATCACCACAAAACTGCTACTATGTTGTCTTTTAATGGAATTTATATAAAACTAGGGGATTGTTTTATTCTATGGTTTTTGATTTTGGCTCGCTGATTGGTGCTGCCTTCAAAGTCCCATAGATAGGGGATATTTCTTTATTTGTGTTAACTCGGGATGGTGGCAGCCACAGACCTTTCTCACCTTACTTTTGCAATTATACCTTAGACCCAGTCTGTCCGGACAGTATGGTCATCTTCGATTGTAAGCTCCCAGGATCAGGGCCCTCCTATCCCTCTTGTATTGAACTGTATTGTTGCTGTATTGTCTCCCGTTATATTGTAAAGCGCTAAGCAAACTGCTGGCGCCATAAATCCTGTATAATAATAATAATAATAATCTGCTGACTTGGCAGCATCCACAGGCAGCTTAACCCCTTGACGCCGATGTCACACAAATATGCGTCCTTACCGAACTGGGCTTTTTTCCATGGAGCCGCATATTTGCGTACCCATGCGGCGCGCTCCCAGCACAAAGACCGTGGTGTCACTGAGAGCCCTGAGTCCCGTTCTAACGATCGGGACCTGGGACTCCCATTTCCGGGTCACATGATCGCTGTGATAGCCTCTGATTGGCTATCACAGTGATCAGTCAATGTACAGCCCAGCCCCCTTGTTTTTTTATCTCTCTATGAATGGAGGAGAAAGATAATTGTATCATTATATACATTCTATTATACATTGTATCATTTATATACATTCTGTTATATATTGTATCATTATATACATTCTGTTATACATTGTATCATTATATACATTCTGTTATACATTGTATCATTATATACATTCTATTATACATTGTATCATTATATACATCCTATTATACATTGTATCATTATATACATCCTGTTATACATTGTATCATTATATACATCATATTATACATTGTATCATTATATACATTCTATTATACATTGTATCATTATATACATCATATTATACATTGTGTCATTATATGCATTCTATTATGCATTGTATCATTATATACATCCTATTATACATTGTATCATTATATACATTCTATTATACATTGTATCATTATATACATTCCATTATACATTGTATCGTTATATACATCCTATTATACATTGTATCATTATATACACCCTATTATACATTGTATCATTATATACATTCCATTATACATTGTGTCATTATATACATTCTATTATACATTGTATTGTTATATACATCCTATTATACATTGTATCATTATATACATCCTATTATACAGTGTATCATTATATACATTCAATTATACATTGTATCATTATATACATTCCATTATACATTGTATCATTATATACATTCCATTATACATTGTATCATTATATACATTCTAATATACATTGTATCATTATATACATCCTATTATACAGTGTATCATTATATACATTCCATTATACATTGTATCATTATATACATTTCCATTATACATTGTATCGTTATATACATCCTATTATACATTGTATCGTTATATACATCCTATTATACATTGTATCATTATATACATCCTATTATACATGGTATCATTATATACACATCCTATTATACATTGTATCATTATATACATACTTTATTATATGTTGTGTATCATTATATACATTCCATATATACATTGTGTCATTATATACATCCTATTATACATTGTATCATTATATACATCCTAATATACATTGTATCATTATATACACCCTATTATACATTGTATAGTTATATACATCCTAATATACATTGTATCATTATATACATCCTATTATACATTGTATCGTTATATACATTCTATTATACATTGTATCGTTATATACATTCCATTATACATTGTATCATTATATACATTCTATTATACATTGTATCATTATATACATTCTATTATACATTGTATTATTATATACATTCTATTATACATTGTATCGTTATATACATTCCATTATACATTGTATTATTTATATACATTCTATTATACATTGTATCATTATATACATTCTATTATACATTTGTATTATATTATTATATACATTCTATTATACATTGTATCTCTCTAACTCCTGGCATAGAGAGAAAAAAAAATGTTTGTAAAAAAAAAAAAAAAGATAAATAAATATTAAAAAATAAAATAAAAAATAAAGAAAAAAATACCTAGATCAGTGCTAGGGTTAGTGTTTGGGTCAAAGGTCAGGATTTATAAAAAAAAATTGGTGTCAGTGTGTTTTAGGTAAAAAAAAAAAGACAAAAACAAAATGCACACTATTGTTTCTGGGCTGTACTACGGGTACAAACAACAAATAACATACACATATATGGTATCGCTGCGATCATCAAGAGCTGAAGAATTTATTTTGGGTTGTTCTTTGGTGGTAGGTTATGGTAGTAACAAGAAACACACAGCTAAATTTAATTTTTTTTTTTTTACTATGTTGGGCCAGTTTTCCTTTGATAATAAAAAAAAAATCAGGAGATATCCATTATCATTTACCACCAAATGAAAGCCCAATTTGTCCTGAAAAAACGCGGTATAATCCACCTAGATGTACAAAGTAGTTGTGATGATCTGTATGGTTTTACTAACACAGGTCAACGTAGCAAAATTGTGCTTAGGGATTTAGATTTGTTTTACCCTTAGGCGTGAAGGGGTTAAATCTTCAGGAAGACACAGACTTTGAATCCAACTCAGTTATACTTCAGATAATTACAATACAGAGGATGTTTTTTTTTTTCAGTCCTTTGAAAGAAGACAAAACGTTTTCTGTCGGTGAATAACTAAAGCTGACTAAGGGAACAGGGTAGAAATAGGGAATGTATAGCTAGGACCAAGAGGGGAGGACAGATGGATAAACCAAATCACATAGTAAATATGTTGCAGTGGCCCAAACAGCCACTAGGTGTCTGCATACTACGAAATGATAATAACCTGATGCAGTTCAATACAACACAGAAATAATACATAAGAGCGACATAACACAGACATCCAAGAGGAGGTGACGTTGCTGTCTGCTTCTCCTGCAGGTCCTGGGATATTACAACAGACGAGGGATTAATCCTAAAGCCTTCCTAAATGAAATCAAGTACATTGCCAGTGACCCGGATGATAAGCACTTCTTCAATGTGACAAACGAAGCTGCACTAAAGGACATTGTGGATGCACTCGGGGAAAGAATTTTCAGTCTGGAAGGAGGTAATATTCACATTTATTGTGTAAAATATTTATACATTTCTCTGCAACCCATTTGTTATTTCCTTTTATAGAGGTACGTGTCTTTGTATGTGTAACGCCCTTCAGGTTCAGCTAGGGGGGAGCAGGGGCATCCCTACGGTTGGTGTCACCCGCTGCGGTAACACTTGGTGTCACCCCTCCGACGATCCTCACAGGATGGATCGGATCTGTGGGTTGAGCATAATGGATCGGAGTCCGATCCATTATGCTCCCCAATCCGCAGATCTGATCCATCCTGCGGGGATCGTCGGCTTGCAACCTATACGGGGTTAACTGATCTCTCCACGAGCTTCACGAAAAGGAACGTTTGAAAGCAAGCCGACGATCCCCGCAGGATGGATCGGATTTGCGGATTGGGGAGCATAATGGATCGGACTCTGATCCATTATGCTCAATCCGCAGATCTGATCCATCTTGCGGGGATCGTCGGCATGCTTTAAAACTTTCCTTTTCGTGGAGCTCGTGGAGAGAGTCTGGTGTCACCTAGTGTGGCACGCAACCCCCGCACCTGTCTGGGGACGCCACTGAGGGGGGGGGGTTAGTTGTTTTAGATAGAGGCTTGATAGGAGCCTGGGTGTGAGTCAGCCAGGTTACTTTAGGTCAGGGCTGAGGGCTCTGCAGGTCGATTCTCTGATACCTCCCCCTGCTCTAGAAGCTGGAGAAATTTATAGAAGTCAGTGGGTGGGAGTGAGGAGGAGCTGGCCTGCATACTTAAAGGGATATTAGCCAATCCCCAAGCAGGAGACTTCGGATGGGGCCAGGACAGCCCTTAAATATGACTGAGCTTGAGTAGCAAGGTACAGTGTCGGGTGGAAGAAGGAGTGAAGGTTGGAGTGTGGAGTCTGGTAAGGGGGCCGAGGAAAGGGGCCTACCTACTGGCAGGGTGCTGGAAGGGAGGATCTCTCTGCCCACAACATCTCCTGAGAGCAGGGAAGGGATACTCTCCATCATGAAGGATCCTATCGTGTGCCTGCAGCTGCCGGTGAGAAGGAGAGGAGGGAAGCTGGCAGCACTGCGGTGGTGGGGAGGCCTGGGCAGCAGGGGGAATTGTATGGTGAGCAAGGAGGGTGATGGGTGTGGTGGGGGGGACAATTACTGGAACCGATTCCCTGTATGACTGGCTGAAAGCCAGGAGGAAGGAGAGAAGAAGCCAGTTTTAAGCTGCTGCAGAGAGAGCCATACAGGGGATCGATTCCAGTGACTGCCCCCCCCCCCCCCCGCCAAAGTGCCAATTACCCTCCCTGCCCACATCCGATTCACAAGCTGCCTGGGCCCCATACAGGAGGACTGGTGGTACCCCCTTATCCACGGCCCTGCATGTCCTAGCCATGGGGCACAGGGTCAGTACAAAAATTCCAGGCCCTTGTAGAGTTGAGAAAGCATCATTGTACATAATTTATTTCTTTGAAGTGAAGTGATTGAGGAGATAAGTGGTACTGGGGAGTTATGGGAATGTAGTGACTGGGCCACCCGGTCTGGAGATAGGGCCACCCTTTCTGGAGATAGAGCCACCCGGTCTGGAGATAGAGCTACCCGGTCTGGAGATAGGGCCACCCGGTCTGGAGGTAGAGCCACCTGGTCTGGAGGAGGTAGGGCCACCCGGTCTGGAGATAGGGCCACCCGGTCTGGAGATAGGGCCACCCGGTCTGGAGATAGGGCCACCCGGTCTGGAGATAGGGCCACCCGGTCTGGAGGTAGGGCCACCCGGTCTGGAGATAGGGCCACCCGGTCTGGAGGTAGGGCCACCCAGTCTGGAGATAGAGCCATCCAATCTGGAGATAGAATCACCCAGTCTGGAGATAGAGCCATCCAATCTGGAGATAGAATCACCCAGTCTGGAGATAGGGCCACCCGGTCTGAAGATAGAGCCACCCTATCTGGAGATGGAGCCACCCGGTCTGGAGATGGAGTCTAGGAAGATAATGCAGAAAACAGAGCAGCCACCCTTATGGATTATACATTAGGTTCATTATTTGCTCAATCCCTGCTTGCTCAATAGAGCTCCCACTGTTGCCTCCCAGGCTTTGTTCATTCTCTGGTTTAGATGCTATACCACAGGCTGTCTGTGCAAAACCACTCTACATCCCCTTTTTTGTGTGCAGACTATACGACGTGGTGCTGATACCACCTCACATAGGTCGGTGCTCCCTGTGACTGTGCATGCAGCCTTGTACTGCCATCTGTTGGCGTGTTACAAAACTAGTCTCCAAACTTTTTAATACTGCCTCGTATAGGTCGGTGCTCCCCGTGACTGTGTGTGCAGCCTTGTGCTGCCATCTGTTGGCATGTTACAAAAACCGGTCTCGAAACTTTTTGATACCACCTCGTATAGGTCGGTGCTCCCTGTGACTATGCGTGCAGCCTTGTGCTGCCATCTGTTGGTGTGTTACAAAACCAGTCTCAAAACTTTTTGATACCACCTCGTATAGGTCGGTGCTCCCTGGGACTGTGCGTGCAGCCTTGTGCTGCCATCTGTTGGCTTGTTAAAAACTAGTCTTGAAACTTTTTAATACCGCCTCATATGGTATCTTTAATATGTTCTCACAACCTGTACAACCTATGTATGTGAACACATTTGTACAAAGCTGCTTTGTGCCAAATTCAGGAATCTACCTATAGATCAGTGTTTCTCAACTCCAGTCCTCATGGACCCCCAACAGGTCATGTTTTCAGGATTTCCATTATTTTGCACAGGTGATTTGATCGGTTTCACTGCCTTAGTAATTACCACAGCTGTTTCATCTGAGGGAAATCCTGAAAACATGACCTGTTGGGGGTCCATGAGGACTGGAGTTGAGAAACACTGCTATAGATGAACATGTTACCTGCTTGTAGGCAAGTGCAGATTCCCCCTTCGTCCTGTAGGCGGCACTGTGCCATTATTACAGATGGAGATGAGTTTGTTCGGGAAATTGTTCCCTTGTGGACCCCTTTGGATCTCAGAGAAGCTAGCTGTCCAGTTGAGTGTTGCATCCTCTGGGGACCTCCATTTTGGAACCTCGACCACAGGGTCTCCTGTATCATTTGGGCACACCCGGAGTGAGTGGTAGGTCGGGGACAGGGGCGGACTGACAACTCATGGGGCCCCCGGGCAATAGGGGATCATGGGGCCCCTCTGTCCTTGTCCAGACTCAAAAAAACCTTTGAAAAAGGGACCAGGGGCATCTCATGGGGCCCCCTACTGACCCCGGGCCCTCGGGCAGTGCCTGAGTTTCCAAATAGTCAGTCCGCCCCTGGTTGGGGATAGAGACCTCGATTGTTAGGCAAAGTGATCAGCACAGATAGAGATTTTTGATGAGTGGGGTCAGAACAGGGACCACACCTGCAGAAAGTCAACCCTGGTAGCCAGAAGAACTCCTTAGTAGCCATACAGTGCGTCTAGTACAACACAAACCATCATTTAGTACTACGGCCCGAGCAGGGGTCAACTCACAACTCATGGGGCCCCCAGGCAATAGGGGATCATGGGGCCCCTGTTTCCTTGCCCACACTCAAACCACACCCAAAAAAGCCTATGAAATGTACCAGGGGCATCTCATGGGGCCCCCTACTGACCCCAAGCCCAAGAGCCCGAATGGTCAGTCAGCCCCTGGGCCCCGAACCTGGTAATACTGAGAAATTATGATTGCTGCATTGCTACAGATCAGGGCCTACAAGAACTCTTAACCAGGGATGGGACAAGGGGTGGACGGGAGGGGCGGCTGCCCTGGTCGTGTTGGTATCATGTGAGGTGGGGGGCACCCAGGGGCATATTTACACAAGGCAAACAAGGCATTTGCCTAGGGCGGCATTTTTTCAGTGGGGCAACAGCATTTTTCAGGGGAGCAGCAGCATTTTTCAGGGGGGCAGCGCTGCCCCCCGAAGGAAGGGATGGAAGAAGTGACACACGCAGCATGGGGACCAGGTGGGATCTGAGAGAGGCTGCGGGCTGCTTGATGGTGTATGCAGAGTCTGGGGATGTCCAGAGCTGTGAAGGTGAATGTCCTCTCTAGCCAGGGTAGGGGGAGGGGTTGCCAGTGTGTATGGGGCGATGGTAGTGGAAAGCTCTCTTGCGTGGGGTGTTGTTGGTCAATGTCAGGCTCTTATCATGGGGGAGGGGGTGTTTGTCAGTGTCAGGGTCTGTCTGGTGGGGGGGAGCCGATTTTTGTGTTGCCTAGGGCAGCACGAAACCTAAATACGCCACTGATGGCACCACATGGAGAGTTCCTACCTACAAGCTGACAGGAGTAGGTATGGCAGCTTCACCGTCAGCTTAGTACTGGAGGAGACGCGCCAGATCTGCAGAGGAGGAGAGAGCCGGGAGGAGGGGCAGGCTGTGCTCTCTCTCCCCTCCAGCTGCTCCTCCTACCACTGCAGCTCTCCAGGATTAGGACAGGGTTTGTTTATCTTCCCCCATCCCCTTCCAACAAAGAACATGGGTAGGGGGCGGGTAAGCAAACACTGCACAGTGGCGATGGGACAGCCAATGATATCTCTAGTGCAGGGCTCTGATGCTGAGATCCTGTAGTCATCTATAACCCCCCCATAGTGGTTGGATTTTGGGGGTGGAGAGGGAGGAGATTTTGCTGAGGCATAATGCTCATACATTTTGGAGGGGAGCCATTTGGCATCTTCTCCCTGGGCTCTAGATGACCTTGTCCCAGAACTGCAAAATACCAAATAATCACAAGAATCAAGAACTGTGTGGTTTGTCCCTGACCGGGTACCTTGGGGCCTGGGGGCCACCTACATGCTTTTTACCCCTCGCCTACCGGGCACTTTCACGCCCTTCCCGCCCAGGCCAATTTTCAGCTGTTGCATTCTGAATGACAATTGCGCGGTCATGCAACACTGCACCCACATGACATTTTTATCATTTTTTCACACAAATAGATTACTTTTGGTGGTATTTAATCACCGCTGGGGGCTTTTTTATGTTTTGCTAGATAAAAAACAGATTGAAAGCAAAAAAAATGCATTTTTATTTGTTTCTGTTTTAAAATTTTGCAAATAAAAAATCTTTCTTCATAAAGTTACGCCGAGATGTATTCTGCTACATTTCTTTAGTGAAAATAACCCAAATCAGTGTTTATTATTCAGTCTGTAGGAAAGTTATAGATCCACATACTATGGGATATATCTGAAAATCGATCAATCCCGATGTACTGACGGCCGATCTAATTTCTTGAGGCCTGAAAATGCCGGGACCAGGGGCAGACTGAAAACTCATGGCGCCCCCGGGCAATAGGAGATCATGGGGCCACTGTGTCCTCGCCCACATTCAAACCACACCCAAAAAAGCCTATGAAAGGTACCAGGGGCATCTCATGGGGCCCCTTACTGACCCCGGGCCCTCGGGCAATGCACGAGTTTCCAAATGGTCAGTCCGCCCCTGGCTGGGACATAAAAAATGACCCCCAAATTACCTTTTTAGAAAGTAGACAGTCCAAGGTATTTAACCACTTCCAGTCCAGACACTTTCACCACCCTTCCAGTCTGGACACTTCCCCCCCCCCTTCCAGTCCAGACACTTTCACCACCCTTCCAGTCTGGACACTTCCCCCCCCCCTTCCAGTCCGGACACCTTCACCACCCTTCCAGTCCGGACACTTTCCCCCCCTTCCAGTCCGGACACTCCCCCCCCCCCCCTTCCAGTCCGGACACTTTCACCCCTTCCAGTCCGGACACTTTCACCCCCTTCCTGTCCGGACACTTTCCCCCCCTTCCAGTCCGGACACTTTCCCCCCCTTCCTGTCCAGGCCAATTTTCAGCTTTCAGCGCTATCACACTTTGAATGACAATTGCGCGGTCATGCAACACTGCACCCATATTAATTTTTTAGCATTTTTTTTGAGACAGATCAAACTTTATTTTGCTGGTATTTATTCAACACTGAATTTTTTTTTTTTTTTGCTATATAAATGAAAAAGTACAAACATTTTGAAAACAACTGTTTTTCTTATAAAATTTTGCAAATAAATAATCTTTTTTCAGAAATCTTGGCCAAAATGTATTCATCTATCTTTTTAGTAAAACAATTAACCCAAATTAGTTTATAACCAAAAATTATAATTTTTCTAAATTTTGTTTTACATTTTTATATTATTATTTATGTGTTTTTTTTAACATGCTGTCAGCCTAGCAGTACAGCATCACCATAGTGACACTGTACTACTTGTGGGGGTGATGAAGATTTTTTTTTTTTTTTACACTGATTGCTTTTACACCCATAAAGGCTGTAAAAGCAATCGTTTCTCCTCTCTGGCTGCATTCTTGCAGCCATTGAGAAATACTGTGTGAGCTGTGATTGGTCACAGCTTGTCACATGGTACAAGGGTGCTGTGAATAGCCCTGTACCATGTGATCTCTGTGATCATTCACAGATTTCACACGTAGTAAGCAATGATGTCAGAAGTGACATCTTGCTTACTACTATGTCAGTGATCACATGATCAGGACCTCACAGAAGTCCTGTACAATGATCCCAGGGAGCGCACACAGGCTGAAAAATGCGGGCGCCGTTTGTGAACAGGAACCCGCCCCTGTACTGTTCCCATCCGGCCGTTTATATACATGAGCTGGACTGGAAGTGGTTAAGCTAAGTTGGTATCAGAATGCACATGCCCCCCCAGTTCAATCACTCAAGATATTTCTATGTTTTGATTGCAGGGACCAATAAGAATGAGACATCCTTTGGGCTCGAGATGTCCCAGGCTGGGTTTTCGTCCCATGTGGTAGAGGTGAGTACAGAGTGGGGTTGGCAGCCATCACATCGTATCAACCATCACAAGGTTCTACAAATGTCTGTATTACAATGTCTGTTAATTCTCCATCAGTCTAGTAGGGGGTCCGACGCCGACTAATTGTGGAAAGACAGAACAACCCATTTTTTTTAGAAGAAACTTTCATGATTGAAGCCTGTATATTTAGTCACACTAGTATTTTTTGTATACGTGTTAATTGCAGGATCAGCTTTTCTGAAAGTGATCTTTTAGTTTTAGGTGGGCCCTGGTTGGCCGAGTCCCGGGTATTTCACTTCCGAGATGTCCCTGCCATAATTCCCTACAAGTTTCTAGTGTCCCCCCTCTTTGTGTGTTCCAGCACCTTCCTTTACATTCTATTAGATGTAGCACCCTCCTAGTATAGAATGCTAGGTGAATTTAGTTTTTGGCTTGCTCTGTAATCAGAGGAGCAGTGATCATTTGCCTTGGTCTGCTCATAGTTTCACAAGCTAGGAGCTTGACTGTTTCCCGAAGAAGCTTGCTGAATATTTACTATGTCCTGGCCAATCCCTGAGGAGGTGTGCACATAAGGTGGTCCAGGAGGTGGTAAATAGCCTGAAACCTTGAGGAGATTATCTTCTCCCCCTGCCGGGGATGGATCTGTGAGCTTCAGGGGATTGCTTGCCCCTGAAACACCTGTGGACTAAATGCTGGACCTCTCTATCAAGGGATCGAGTTTGAGGATGCAACTGCTTTAGGACTTGTGAGGAGAGCCCCTGACTGACTCCCTAAAGCAGTGTAATCGGAGAGAACTGTCTCATGGTCCCCAGTGATGAGACTTTACCTATTCTGGAGCTATCTCATGGTCCCCAGTGATGAGACTTTACCTATTCTGGAGCTATCTCATGGTCCCCAGTGATGAGACTTTTAGCTATTCTGGTGCTATCCCATGGTCTTCAACTGAGACTTTAACTATTCTGGAGCTATCTCATGGTCCCCAGTGATGAGACTTTTAGCTATTCTGGTGCTATCCCATGGTCTTCAACTGAGACTTTAACTATTCTGGAGCTATCTCATGGTCCCCAGTGATGAGACTTTTAGCTATTCTGGTGCTATCCCATGGTCTTCAACTGAGACTTTAACTATTCTGGAGCTATCTCATGGTCCCCAGTGATGAGACTTTAACTTTTTTGGAGCTAATTTATGGTCTTCAGCTTTGAGACTTTTAACTATTCAGGATATCGTATGTACTCTCCAGCGCCTCAGGATATGCACAGCCAAAAGGGAAGCCAAGGGTACCAGGACAGCGACAACCAAAGGAAATGCTTCAGGGGTGCAGCCCTCCTCAGACAGGAGATCAGCCACTGGATAAAGAGAAAACAGGTGGCGCACACACCCAGTGCATTATCCAAGCTTTATTGTAAGGAGTGAAAAATAAAAACATACTCACAGACGAAGCATGTATCTAAAAAGCATAGAAAAATGACGATGGCCACAACGGCAGGCAAGGTGTTCTCACTGTCAGTGCGGTCCGCACTTTTAACTATTCAGGGGCTATCTCATGGTCTCCAGCTATGAGACTTTAACTATACTGGAGCTATCTCATGGTCCTCAGCTAAGAGACTTTAACTATATTGAGCTATCTCATGGTCTTCAGCTGAGACTTTAACTTTTCTGGAGCTAATTTATAGTCTTCAGCTTTGAGACTTTTAACTATTCAGGGGCTATTTCATGGTCTCCAGCTATGAGAATTTTAACTATTCTGGAGCTATCTCATGGTCCCCAGCTATGAGACTTTTAACTATTCTGGAGCTACCTCATGGTCCCAAGCTATGAGACTTTGAAGTATTCTGGAGATATTTCTTGGTCCCCGGTGATGAGACTTTAACTATTCCGAACCTATCTCATGGTCCCCGGCTATGAGACTTTAACTATTGTGGAGCTGTTTCATAGTCTTTAGCTATGAGACTTTAACTGTTCTGGAGCTATCTCATGGTCTTCAGCTATGAGACTTTAACTATTGTGGAGCTATCTCATGGTCTTCGGCTTTGAGAATTTAACTTCTATAGAGCTATCTCATGGTCCCCAGCTGTGAGAAAATAGGCTGTTCTGTAATCTACCTTATGATTCGCAGCTGTGAGAGCTAGACTGTGCTACCTTTACCAAGAGTAGAGTGTCCTCCGCTAACAGTACTTATGGTGTTATGGAGTATCCCATGCCCCTTTCCCTTTCTTGTTAAAGTTTTGCAAGTAACACATCCCCTAGGCTGTTTAATGGAGCCGGAGTGAATGGACTAATCTTGCTTGTAAGACTGGTAGCCTCTGCACTGTTCGGGAAGGAACTAGTTAAATACAGCGGCGAGGTAGCACTACATGTAAAATACCTTATATTGATGACGCACCCCATGAAATGGCATAGAGAGTGTGGAAGTGGGTGTATCATGGTGTATGTAAGCTCAAATTTTCAGCATATTTGGTGTCATGTCTCAAATAAAGTTGTCTTAAACAATTTTTGTTTGGGAGGAACCTGTTCCAGAGTTTTTTATCAGGAGATTCTGCACTTCTAGTTGCAGACTGACAACACTAGACCAATGCCTCACTATTAGCAGAGCAGAATTGGTAGCTCACTGTGCAAGTTCATTTAGTTGGCAATTTGGCTTCCCATCTTATGGACCTGATAGGCAACCAGGGGCGGACTGACAACTCATGGTTCCCTCGGGCAATAGGGGATCATGGGGCCCCTGTGTCCTTGCCCAAACTCAAAAAAGCCTATGAAAAAGGTACCAGGGGCATCTCATGGGGCCCCCTACTGACCCCGGCCCCTCGGGAAGTGCCCGAGTTTCCAAATGGTCAGTCTGCCCCTGTAGGCAACCAAACGGACGCTTGATGGAGAGCACATTGTAGGCTGACAAAGTTGCTGCTGATTGCGAGACAGTGGCTTTGTCATTCTGTAACAGGAAGTGCTGGAACTGGCAGGATCTTCTGGTAAGAAATTTTGCAACAGATTCTCAAAAATGGTATATATTTACGACACCTAAATATGTGGCGGCAGGGAAGGGGGGGCTTAAACCCTCCGCCACATATACTCATTTTTGACTTGCTCTGGGACATGCTGCATTGGCACCCCCAGAGCTGTGACCAAGCTGTTATGGACAGCTCATGGTCAGCTACTAATGTTCGGGAGCCAGTAAGACAAGCTCCAGATGATGTCGGCACGGTGCAGCCAATCACAGTGCCACCTACCGGCTCTGTCACAGGCCATTTAAAAAACTGGCTCCTGCTGATCCAAAGGGTTGGAGACAACTATATACAGTGGGGCAAAAAAAGTATTTAGTCAGCCACCAATTGTACAAGTTCTCCCACTTACAAAGATGAGAGAGGCCTGTAATTGGCATCATAGGGAGACCTCAACTATGAGAGACAAAATGAGAAAACAAATCCAGACAATCACATTGGCTGATTTGGAAAGAATTTATTTGCAAATTATGGTGGAAATAAGTATTTGGTCACCTACAAACAAGCAAGATTTCTGGCTCTCACAGACCTGTACCTTCTTCTTTAAGAGGCTCCTCTGTCCTGCACTCATTACCTGTATCAATGGCACCTGTTTGAACTTGTTATCAGTATAAAAGACACCTGTCCACAACCTCAAACAGTCACACTCCAAACTCCACTATGGTGAAGACCAAAGAGCTGTCGAAGGACACCAGAAACAAAATTGTAGACCTGCACCAGGCTGGGAAGACTGAAACTGCAATAGGCAAGCAGCTTGGTGTGAACAAATCAACTGTGGGAGCAATAATTAGAAAATGGAAGACATACAAGACCACTGATAATCTCCCTCGATCTGGGGCTCCACGCAAGATCTCACCCCGTGGGGTCAAAATGATCACAAGAACGGTGAGCAAAAAATCCCAGGACCACACGGGGGGACCTAGTGAATGACCTGCAGAGAGCTGGGACCAACGTAACAAAGGCTACCATCAGTAACACACTACGCCGCCAGGGACTCAGATCCTGCAGTGCCAGACGTGTCCCCCTGCTTACGCCAGTACATGTCGGGGCCCGTCTGAAGTTTGCTAGAGAGCATTTGGATGATCCAGAAGAGGATTGGGAGAATGTCATATGGTCAGATGAAACCAAAATAGAACTGTTTGGTAGAGGTGTTTGGAGGAGAGAGAATGCTGAGTTGCATCCAAAGAACACCATACCTACTGTGAAGCATGGGGGTGGCAACATCATGCTTTGGGGCTGTTTCTCTGCAAAGGGACCAGGACGACTGATCCATGTACAGGACAGAATGAATGGGGCCATGTATCGTGAGATTTTGAGTGCAAACCTCCTTCCATCAGCAAGGGCATTGAAGATGAAACATGGCTGGGTCTTCCAACATGACAATGATCCCAAACATACCGCCTGGGCAAATAAGGAGTGGCTTTGTAAGAAGCATTTCAAGGTCCTGGAGTGGCCTAGCCAGTCTCCAGATCTCAACCCCATAGTCGCTAGGCCACTCCAGGACCTTGAAATGCTTCATCTTTGTAAGTGGGAGAACTTGCACAATTGGTGGCTGACTAAATACTTTTTTGCCCCACTGTACACTGAGACATAAAGCCAAACATATTGAAAATAGATTTGGGGTCTACAAACACTTTATGTACAAGCAGGTCTAGTGGGTCACTCTATGGGCATTGTTTTCTTTGACGTATGTTATGTTGTCATGTTATAATCAGGTCCACCAGTTAGGCGGATACAGCTTACATACTGTAAATTGAAGGAGATAAGCATTATTTCTATGATCCTCTATAATATGTTGTTGGTTAGGACAACTGCCCACGTCGGCCTCACTGCCGGTTCAGCTACGACTTCCACTGATTGATCCTGCACAATGGTTAGTCTACATTTGGGAGCCAGAAAACCTTTAGGCAACAGCGGTCATAACCACAGAGATATTTAACCTTTCACTGATCCCTTTTTGTAATGGGATAGGATTAAATGTTCTTTAGTTCTGAAAGGAGGCCCTACCTTGACATTCTTAAATGCGTTTTGGAAAAAATGAGGTATTATAAATTACATTTCCCAAATAATCCAACAAAATGATAAGGGTAAGGTTCCTATTTGTTTGGGAAGTTTGCAGTAATGTTCGATGCTTAGTTCTGACCACATCTTTGGGTGGTACGATCATTTTTATATGTAGGTTTCACAATAGTTTCCTAGAGAAGCAGTGACATGTTGCTTCATTGTTCAGAAGCTTTTTTGTTCTCTGTTCTCAGTTCATTATGGTACATAATGCATCATGTTTATGTAGCACTACCCCCTTAGGAGTCACTGAAATTTGGGTCCCCCTATAGTCCTGCACAGATGGGCAACACGCATTCCCCATACAGACTTGCATCCAGGAAACAGTAACCCATCCTTGAGCTTGATTTTTTGGATTTTATTAGGGGATGTAAACTTAGATGGGGTAAGGGGTGTACAAGATGCCCAAGGGTAATGGCAACAGAGAGCAAACTTTTCTGGAACTATATTCAAGTCTTTACAGCACAATTCTCTTCTGGAAAGCTAGCCAGCATCTCCTGTAGTACCACCCCAGACCTCAGATTCTCCTAATCCAGCTGTTCTGGGTGAATCCCTGGTAAGGGGATCCAGTATCTGCCACTTCACAAGAAGCCAGTCCCGAGTAGTATGCTTATCTAATTTCCCACTGAAGTGCTCCTTTCCCTTACTGGCCCAGGGGGTGCAGGTCTACTCATTCAGTCCTTCTCCTTTGCTGCTGGTGGGTCGGTGACTGCAACCAGGGCTTCTAGGTGGGCCGCTCCTTCCCTGTTGCATAGGTGGTTCTCGCTCTGGGGGCTGGTGAAGTCCTCAGCTTTGCTCCTTCCTCTGCCTGTAGGTGAGCTCCTCTCCATCTGGGCCCCCTCCCAGGCTCCTGCTCTCCAGCCTCTCTTTTATATCTTCTACCCAAACTCTCCTGCTGCTGAGCAGGCTCTGTCATTGTAAGGGTTGTCCTGGCCCCTTGCCAAGCCTCCTGTTGGGGATCGGCCTTGAGAGTGTAGACTAGTCACTCCTTACCTCCACCCACTGCTTCTACTTTCTCCTAAGTTCTAGTGCAGGGGGAAGTCTCAGAGAGCCAGTCTGCAGAGCCTCTCAGCTCTACCCAAATTTGACCCTGCTAGCTATCACACCCAGGCTGCTACTCAGCCTCTAATAATTTGGACTCTAGCTCTTCCTAGCTACCTAGGAGGGTGCTACATTTACATTATGCTTCCTGGTCTTTAGATTTAGGTGCCACCAAAAATATTATCTGGTATTACATTGCTGCCCTTGGAATCCATTAATCAACAATGAGAGACCTAGTTATACAGTATTTAGCACACCCCTAGGTGATAGGTTAGGTAAATTTAGTTTGGCTCACCGTAACCAGTGTGGCTGCAATTTCTGGATTAGGCAAATTTAGTTCTAGCTCACTGTAATCAGTGCAGCTACACGTGATTGGTTAGGATTATTATTTGTGTAGCACCCTCTAGTGTGCTACTAGAATAGTGGAGGCAAATCTATTGAGTATGGCTCATGGTAACTGTGTGAGTCTGTGATTAAGGTCGGGTTACTGCAGGTCAAGCTGGATGACTTAATAGGTTGAGACTCTATCGTCTCCACCCGGTTCTGGAGGACCATGGAAACCTTCCAGAAGCCAGTAGGCGGAAAAGGTGAAGACCTAATCTGCATGTTTGTAAGTCTAACCAATCCCAAGTTTGGAGGCCCTGGTAGAGTGGTGAACCAGCCCATAAATATGGGATAGTCAGGTAGGCTGGAGAGTTGGGTGGAAGATGGAGTGCTGAGGAGACTGTCGGTGGCCTGGGAGGGGTTGCCTAGGTCTGGGGGAGGGGACTGATGGCCTCCAGGCTGGGCTTAAGCTGGCTCAGAATGATCCATTCAGCAGTACAGCATAAACAGGATCAAGGCCTGGGAGCAGTTGGGGCAAAGAGGACAGAGTGTGTACATCAGCACACCCAAGGATTCACAAGGGGAGACACTGCCACATGTAGCAAGCTTTCAAAGGACAGAACTGTGCTGAGTCCTTTATTCTTGTCCTGGGAGATCTTCAGAGCAGCCAGGAGGGCTGGTAATGCCTGCAGGTTGTGGAGCTGGAAGTGGTTCTACAGGGGAGAGGAGACATCTCTGCATGGAGTTAACAAGGAGCCAAGTTGATTTCAGAGGGGCTGCAAGTTCCTAGTCCATAAGGAGTTGTTGCTACTGATCTGCAAAGACCGACCGCTTTTAAGGAAAAGAACAGTCCAGGATCTGTTTCTGTAAATAGGAAGGAAGTTGTCCCCGTGCTTTAATTCAACTAAGTTTGGCATCCCATAATCCCTATTACCCTATCCAAGTTAAAACAAGCTTGTGGACTGTTCACTGACTGTGAATGAAATTGTGGAAAATGCATGTTGCCTGGCTGTGCTGAGCTTAGTAATACCAAGAAACCCAGTGGTCCTCACTGGGGTAGCGCTGCATGTGTTTCACAAGCTGCAGGTCTGATTGCTCCCTCCGTGCATTTCAGAACCCTCTGGGTGGTTCTGGAACATAGATGTGGATTAGGGCAAATGGGCAGTATAAATATTTATACTGTCTCAGCCACTCTCTGTGTGCTTTCCACAGATGGCTACTGGGAAATGAGTATAAATAGTTTGAGACCTGGAACAGAAGTGTCTTATCCTTCAGGAGGAAATAAAAGCCTGACGGGGTGTGGAGAGGTCTTGCATAGTGCGGAGGCAGTGAACACACAGAGTTTGGTTGCAGCAAGCTTGAAACTTGTATGGCATGGAATACCAACATTTCAAGCAGAGCACCGCTTAGGAAAAACACTCACAGTTCAATGTAGTTCAAAGATATGGCTGAGGAGAGATGCTGACAGTGTCCTGTCTCAGAGGGTGGAATGTGGTTCCAAGTGGTAAGGCTTCCCTACAGGGTAGCAAGTCTCTAGCTGCCTTTCCCTACTCCTCTGGAACCTTGCACTACCGCTAGTTGCTTTCCATAACAAGTGGGGTCTCTTTCCCTACACTAGCCACTCTTAAAATGCATGCCAAAACTCAGGGACAGGGACTTAAAAAGACCTTGATGACCCAAGATGGCCATCAAAGCTCCCATGGCTGCAGCATAGCCAACCAGAATGCTGCTGCATTGACCCAGGAGACCATAGAGAAACCATGTTTCTCCTAACTTCCTCTCCAAGCTGCAGTTCCACTCAAGTGAAGATAACAGACTGCACCTGCCTACAAGGGGCTGATGCCCCCTTAGGCAATCCTGCGGGGTCCGGGGAGAGCGGATATAGTGAGTGCGGGGTCCCGCGAGAGTGGATATAGTGAATGCAGGGTCCGGGGAGTCCAGATATAGTGAATGCGGGGTCCGGGGAGAGCGGATATAGTGAATGCGGGGTCCGGGGAGAGGGGATATAGGGAATGCGGGGTCCGGGGAGAGCGGATATAGTGAATGCGGGGTCCGGGGAGAGCGGATATAGTGAATGCGGGGTCCGGGGAGAGCGGATATAGTGAATGCGGGGTCCGGGGAGAGGGGATATAGTGAATGCGGGGTCCGGGGAGAGCGGATATAGTGAATGCGTGGTCCGGGGAGAGCGGATATAGTGAATGCGGGGTCCGGGGAGAGCGGATATAGTGAATGCAGGGTCCGGGGGAGAGCGGATATAGTGAATGCGGGGTCCGGGGAGAGCGGATATAGTGAATGCAGGGTCTGGGGAGAGCAGATATAGTGAATGCGGGGTCCAGGGAGTCCATATATAGTGAATGCGGGGTCCGGGGAGTCCAGATATAGTGAATGCAGGGTCCAGGGAGAGCAGATATAGTGAATGCGGGGTCCAGGGAGTCCATATATAGTGAATGCGGGGTCCGGGGAGTCCATATATAGTGAATGCATGGTTCTGGCTTTAGTAACACTTTAACTTTACTTTTCTTTATGTACTTTTTCCACTTGCAACCTGAATGTCTTAAATGTTTTGGCTCCTGCCTCTTCACTGAACATGATGCAATTCTTAGAATTGGAACCAGCATACCCTTGTTTTATCAGGCAGTGTTATCCTTGCCATGGGGTCTATCTGATTTTTAGCATACTGTATAGGACATCTATCACATGCATATAATAACTTTGATAATGGCCAGATATAAATATTGTTTTGAGTTACTCTTCCATGAGCTTTCCTTGAAGTGTTGTTATATTTTATGGATATCTTCTCCTCTAGGATGGGATATTGCTGGGAGCGGTTGGAGCCTATGACTGGAGTGGAGCTGTTCTTAAAGAGACCAGCAGTGGGAAGGTGATACCTCGGAGAGAGTCTTACCTCAAGGAGTTTCCGGATGAGCTCAAGAACCATGGGGCGTACCTTGGTAAATACATAATGTGCACCTGTAGCAAAAACAAAGTATGAAAGATGGCAACAGAAAGCATTGCTAGGCGTGTGAACATACCTCCTTAAACCTGAACTCCAGACACATCTAAGAAATGCACAGTAGCTATAGCAAAAATACAGTTGAAAAGCAGGATAGGTATACAAGTAGGTCACCTTGGCGGATATTCCTCTGTGGCAGCATAACAGAGGTGCGGGGGTCTAAGCACTTACTAGTATTCACCAGAGCTCTTTATATGGGGATGGGGGCTTGACAAGTGTTCCCTAACACCTCAGGTCCAGACCCACCAGAGAAGAGAGAGGGAGGCACAGAGTGGTAAGGTGACACGGTCAATGGTCAGGCTCGAGTCAGAGATATATCCCACATAGCAGTAGAGAGCAAGCCGGGGTCCATTAGGTATACAAGTAGGTCACCTTGGCATGATGTTGGCATACCAGAGGTGTGGGGGTCTAAGCACTTATTAGTATTCACCAGCTGATGGTGGGGATGGGTTTTACTGCGTGTTAGTACCAGGACGCGGCCCCCAGGATCACCCCACCAAGGTTAGCAAGCCGAGGGTCCATTAGCAGATATAGCAGGTAGGAATCAAGTAGGATAGCATAGTAGTCAGTAGACAAGCAAAGGTCCGTAACAAGCAGTACAGGTTGGAATCAAGTGGAAGCATAGTCGAGTAGCAAGCTAAAAGGTAACGAATGGTATTGGAGATAAGGACAGCTGCAGGTACACAAAGGAGCAATATATCGGCTGGAGAGAGCACCATTATCTGGCAGACAGGAAGTGCAAAGGCATGGTTTAAATAGGAAGTTCGTGGGAAGAGCAAAGGGTTCAAGAGAAACAAGACACAAGTCAAAGAAACAGGCAGGGAGCTGTGCAGCATCTCAGGTGGCTCAGCAAGGAGAGACACCACCAGACACAGCAGAGGTTGCAGGTTCAGATCCAGGCCATGTCACATTGGCACCATGAGTCCAGTGCATGGAAGCTTCTATCTAGAGGCAGGCTTGGCTATGAGATGCTTGTGCAGACTGTCAGGAAGGTAACTGGCCAGACCGTAAGGGCACACAGCAGACTGCTATAGACAGCAGGTGGGCAGTAGCTGAAGAGAGGCAGGCAGGGTAGCAGTCAGATTCAAGTTCAGGAGACAAGCCACAATCGCACCAGGATATCAGCAGAGGTATGTCAAAGTCTAGATGTAGTCAAACTGTGAATCAGAAGAGACAAACCATGGTCAGGAAATAGCCAAGGTCTGTAGTAGGAAGGACAGGGGCAGGTAGTGAGAGTGAGAGGGGAAAACAGATCTCAGGAACAAGTTCATGTTCAAGTCGCAGGATAGAGTTGAAGACCATCCAGCAACTTTGTTGAGCTCTGTTCCTTAAATAGGCCATCTGGAGCCAAGATTGCAGTTCAGTGTGGAAGCCGTTTACTACTGACTGACTCCAGCTCCACTCCATAAGTTAAAGCAAGTCTCTAAGCCTCTTTCACCAATAGTTGGGCTCACGTTGTGGGGTAGGTATGAAATGATAGAGCCTTGACTGATGAACTGGAAGTCTGTTTACATACTGAGCATCCAAAATGGGCTCCTGGGTGCTACCCTGAGAAAGGTATGTTCAGACAGAAGAAAAAGATAAGATGTCGCAGCTTACTAATTCTTAGATGTGGTGTCTGCATTATTTTTAGGATTTTTTTTTTGCCCCCTTAGGAGTCGCTGAGTTTTGGGTCCCCCTAAGCTATGCATGGCCAGGCAACACAAATTTTCTACACCTTGCACACTGGAGTCAAAGAACAGTCCTTGAGCATGGTTTTGTGATTTTATTAAGGGGTTAAGAACTAGGATGGGGTCTAGTGGTACAGTATATGGGATGCCCGAGGTACGGTAGAACTTGAGGACAACTCCTTAGCAACCATGTACAAAATGCGGATAGCAACAATCTTTCTCCCTAAAGAGTGCCAAAGATTTTTTCCTTATGTACCTCCTCAAACCCCAGATGAATCTTCCTCTTCACCCAGCTGCACTGAGGGTATTCTGAGGGTAGAGCTGTTAATGTAGAAACAGTCCTAGATGAGAAGCTAGTTGGATCTTGCACCTGACTGCCCTCTCCCCTTATCCAGCCCAGGTGGTGTAAGAGTACTCATGCTGTCTTTTCCTGTCAGCTTAGTGGGTAGGTGGCTGCTTTCAGGCCTTTTGCTGGGCTAGCTCCCTGCTGCTCACGATGTCCTCCCCAGGAGATGGTGGCACAGTAAAGGTCCTCTTTTCCAGCAAGCTGCCTGTGGGTAGGCCCCCTACCTGGGGCCCCTCCCAGGCTCCACACTCCAGCCTTCCTTACTCCATCCTCCACCTGACACTGCACACCTCCCCCCAGGCTATGCCACATTTTGGGGATGCCTTGGTCACCATGCCCAGCCTCATGCCAGGGGATTGGCCAAAGGTTCCTCAAACATGCAGATCTGGGCCTCCTTCACCCCTCCTCCAGAAAGCTCTCAGGTTTCTGGAGAGGTGGGAGTACTCCAGAAGCCCTGACCTGATAGAGTTCTATCCTGTTATGAGATGAATTCCTGCCTCACTCACAGGTTGACTCATCCCAGGCTGCTACTCAGCCTCTGACTAACTAAAATGCTATCTAGCTAAATCTAGAGGGCGTTACATTTATTTTCACCTGGTAATCCTGCCAGCAAGCCTGTCTTTTTCACAGCCTATTTTCAACACACCAAGCTGTGCAGCAAAAGTGCCAGTTAGAGGATTATGAAGTTATCCTGCACCATTCTCCTCCAGTCAGGAGGAGGAGAACTAAAGCTGAGCAAAGCCATAGACCCATGCAAGATGCTGGGAATCTTGGGAGGACTAGTCCAAAGCAACAGTCATGTAGAGGAACAGCTGGGTTTCTGAACTACAGATCCCTATATACTTTGGGGCACAGAAAGAGCCAAGGGGGACTTAAGTAGAATCACCTGGGAAAAGCCTCTAAAAAACATTTACCACTGGCAGGGGTGCTTACAATGGTTAGCTTTTAATCATTTATGTAAAACCTCCAAAACAGAGAAAAAAAACTACAGTAACTGCTTACTAATTGTTAGTTGGAGGTCAGCTTTAAATTGTTAGTCAGTCCATCTAAATCTACTAGCCCATCTAACACCACCCTCTCCACAAATTTACAGTGCTGCTGTCCAAGGATGGCTATACTGCTCCTCCATAGATACAGTGGAGGAGTAAATGTAGTCACGCTATGACAGGGCTGCTGATCACCACAGGAAAATAAAGTAATAAAACCCAGAAAAAAAAAGAAAACTAATGCAGCCACCAGAGGCGGACTGACAACTCATGGGGCGCCCTTGCCCACACTCAAAGCACACCCAAAAAAGCCTGTAAAAGGTACCAGTGGCATTCCATGGGGTTCGCTACTGACCCCAGGCCCTCAGGCAGTGCCCGTGTGCTCGAATGGTCAGTCCGCCGCTGGCAGCCACCATATCCAAGGATTAATAGGCTACAATATATTCTTTTTTTTTTGGTTTTGGGGTTTAGTTACGCTTTAAATTGATTCAGGTTCAGCCGGCAGCAATTACACACAATGAAGTTTGAAAAAACCCAATCTCTGGTTGCCATGTCTGTTCATAGGGGACGTCAATTTGCTATTCTCTGCCCAGATCTTTAATAGCTTCAAAGTCTGGTCATTTTTTCCTACTGTGTCAGTGAAACTTTAATGGCTCCCTATGGCTTTTATAGAGTGAACAGTATAACGTGATACATCATCATTTGTATCCTATAGAGCTGGACACCCTTCAGTTTTCATGAGCTTCGCCTTAGAAATTCCACATCAACTGACGGTTCCCATAGTGCCATATGGAAACAATGATGATCCTGAAATCATCTTAAATGATTGAGATCTTTTTTTTTGTAGCCAACCTGTCATTGTTACATTGTATGGCAGCCATTATCCAATCACTTGTGTCCATTATACATAATCCTGGGTACTTTGTGAGTTAATGCCCAGCTCAGAATTCTGATCTATGTGTTGGAACTTCTCTCGGAAAATTGTGGGGGGAAAATAAAGTGTTTTATATCCGCAAGGTCCAGGACGGATCTTATTGCTTTAGGTCCTGTGGAAAAGAGGCCTGGCCCAATGCCTGGAGCAGCTCGCTGCACCACAGACCCGGTGCTGGCTATGATGGTGGGGGGGATTGGGGGGGGGGATGTGGGAGCCGAGAACTGCTGCTGCATTAGAGTTCGTCCTTCTGCCGTACTTCAGGATTGCGCAGTAATGTTATGGCAGGCAGATTGCCAACAGGACTGAGCCAAATTCTGCAAATCCTAAGCTGCCTCCTGCAACCCAACCTGAGGATCCCTCTGCTTTAAATATTAACCCTTCAAAGCTAGGATCACATGTATGCGTACGGGCGCAAATTCACAGGCTGCTCTTTAGAAGATGCACATGGGTGCCAATAATTAACGGAAACCCCCTTGCATTGGCCAACAGCGCCATGAGGTTGGGTGCAGTGTGGTTTTTTAAAGAGGCTTTCGGACGTCTTTCCCTGTGTTGACCTTGAGTAGGGCAGCCCATTGAAATGAATGGGCTAACCTACATGGGAAGGAACGTGTGTGAAGAGCATGTGTGCGTCCATGCACGCAGTAGTGTGAACCAAGACTAAGTCTTTGTAGATTTGGTTGATTATTAGGACCAGAGACGAACTCTCCTGCACTCAGAGACCCAGATAGGTGGAGGATGGATGAAACAAGAACTTAAAAAACTCGACCACCATGTATCATTCTGTATTTAATAAAATTTGGTTTACTGAGATAATGCGCAAGGTTGGTGCGCCTTTTGTTTTGTTTTGCTTTGCAGTGATTATTAGGACCTCCATGGTCTTGACCACATACATTATTTTAAGCCAAATTTAACTTGCCCATTGATTGCACCTACAACAGTGTGGATCAGAGAAGCATCTATAGATCCTATTGGAGCCATAAAACCAATACCGTATTGGTGGTAGATTACAATGGTCAGTTCATTTGCTTTTCTACAGTCAACAGCTAGCTGAACGTGATTGTAATTTTTTTTTATTTCAGTAGAAACATCAGTTATGTGTTGCAACCTAAAACATTTGACCATCTGCCATCAGTTTAGTATGGCCATTAATGTTCTGTAGCTCCCTCTAGGTATATAGGATTTGTTGTTTTTTTAGTTAGAGGCTTGATAGAAGCCTGGGACGAGTCAGCCTGGGAGTGAGGTAGTGAATTCACCTCAGGACAGGCTGGGAGGATCCACAGGTCAGGGCCTCTGGAGCCCTCCCACCCTTCCAGATACTTCTGACTCTTTCTGGAAGAGGGGCGGGGGAGAGGAGCCCATAGGGGAACTTGGCCAATCCCCCGGCAGGAGGCCAGGCATGGTGGCCAAGGGCAACCCTTAAATATGATAGGGCCTGTGCAGCAGGGGAGTCAGATGGAAGATGGACTGAAGGAAGGTGCTGGAGAATGAAGCCTGGGAGGGGGCCCCAGGGAGGGGAGCCTGCCTACAGGCTGGTTGCTGGACAGAAGGCTCTTCACTGTGCCAAGTCTCCTAGGGAGGACAATCCTGTCGGCAGGGAAGGAGCGAGCCCAGCGTAAGGCCTGAAAACTGCTGCAACCCATTAAGCTGCAGGACAGGACAGTGTGAGTACTTCTACACCCCCTGGGCCAGATAAAGGGAGAGGACGGTTAGGTGCAAGACCCCACGAGTTCTCATCTGGAATGACTTAAGTGGCAGATCGTGCCCACGGATACCCTCAGTGCAGTCGGGTGAAGGTGGAAGGATTTATCTCTGAGGAGGTACATCAAGGGGACTTCAGTTCTCCTTAACCCCTTCCGGCGTCTGGGCCTAGACGCTGAGCGGCCGCATATTTGCGTTCATGTAGCAAAAAACATATGTGCTGAGAGCGCGCGCCCTGCGCACTCCCAGCACACATGTGATGTACTCATGGAAAGGTACCGGTCCGCTCTTTTGATTGAAACCTTTCCCGATCATGTGACCGGCCGTGACGTCTGGGCCTAGACGCTGAGCGGCCGCATATTTGCGTTCATGTAGCAAAAAACATATGTGCTGAGAGCGCGCGCCCTGCGCACTCCCAGCACACATGTGATGTACTCATGGAAAGGTACCGGTCCGCTCTTTTGATTGAAACCTTTCCCAATCATGTGACCGGCCGTGACGTGACGTCACGGTGGCCACATGACACTAGGCCCCGTCCCGCCCACCTCCTGCCGCAGGAACGCCTCTTCACGCTGGGACGATCCGGCGTGAAGGGGTTAAGGAGACAGTGCTGTTTTTGCTGATCCATATTTTTGTGCAGTGTACAGTTTGGTAAGAAGTTTGTCCTCAAGTTTGCAGTTCCTTGGGCATCCCATATATCCATAGACCCCTCAATGAAAACAATGAAAAAATGGCTTTGCATCATCGTACTGTAATTTTATTGCTGCATGCCAAGTTTGACAGGCGGTGCCTTTCACCCTAATCTGAAAAGCGATCTACTGCAGATCATTTCGGGGACAGCAGACAGCACTGCAAATGTGAAAAGAGCCACTGTCCCCGTGTTGCTCTGCAAGAAATCTTCTTTCTCAATGTTAGCTTTCCAACAATTCCATTTATTAATTCTGCTGTCATGTACCTCGGTTGAAGGCTGAGTTGACGAGAGGGCTACCCTTGCAGTTCTGGTCTGGGAACCCCTAAATGTGGTGATGTACAAGGCTCGAAGAAGCCAGGTGCCGGTAGCTTGATAGCAGGTGACTGCCGCGGTCAGGGAACGTACCAAGCACCTACCGCATCTCCTGCGAGGTCCCGTGACCCGGCTTGTTCTTGACCTTGCTCCATGGATTCTGGTTACTCACCTCGGCTACCTCACCTTGGCTACGTTCCCTGACCGTGACTGTCACCTAAATGTGGTGAGGTACAAGGCTCGAAGAAGCCGGGTGCCGGTAGCTTGATAGCAGGTGACTACCACGGTCAGGGAATGTAGCCAAGGTGAGCCAGGATCATACACAGTGAGACAACAGTGTAGTCAGAAAGCAAGCTGAGGTCAGTACCAGGGAAGCAGAAAGAGAACAGTAAGAGGGAAGCCGAGGTGAGTAACCAGAATCCATGGAGCAAGGTCAAGAACAAGCCGGGTCACGGGACCTCGCAGGAGATGCGGTAGGTGCCTGATACTAGAGAGTTTCACATCTCTGGTGGCCCAAGGGCGGACTGACCATTTGGAAACTCAGGCGCTGCCCGAGGGCCCAGGGTCAGTAGGGGGCCCCATGAGATGCCCCTGGTACCTTTTTCATAGGCCTTTTTGAGTTTGGGCAAGGACACAGGGGCCCCATCATCCCCTATTGCCCGGGGGCCCCATGATTTGTCAGTCCGCCCCTGTGGTGGCCCCTTTATTAAGCTGATAGGGCTTGAGCACCTAGCAGGGAAACAGACCTGTGGCTGACAAACTCTGCTTCTACTGTGCTGAGGCTGAGCGGCAGAGGCATTGACTGGGCATTTTGGCAGGTTGCTCTGGGGGTGGAGTTCGAACCCCCCTGACTCCCCCATTATCTACGTCCCTGCAGATAATTTGTCTTTTACTTCCCTGGCCATACAGTGTTTGAAGTGGTCGGTTGACGATACTGGAGTCATAGATCGATGGCGGCTATACTTAGGTGCTATGGATTTATTTGACAAAGAAATGGCCTGGTCATCTCCCAATGGGGCATCTCGGTGATAGGTGGCCTGACCTTGTGAACAGACCCACATGGAAGAAAAATATATTTTTAAAATAGTCTTCTCAACTATATTTATATATATATCTTACAGTTCTTACACTATCTCTAAACAGGCTACACAGTCACATCTGTAATGACACCGCAACGCGTCAGGCTGTATGTAGCAGGAGCCCCACGATTTAATCACACGGGGAAGGTGATCATCTTCAGCATGCAAGGCATGGACAACCTTGTCATCCATCAATCTCTACAGGGGGAACAGGTAACTACTCCAGTACGAGTCTAACGATTACAATGTTAGGAGAATGTGACCATGGAATTCACTGACATTGGCCTTCACAAAACATTTTTCTAAGATTGTTTCCATGTGACTTGAGTTTTATGTTTCTCTCCACCAGATTGGGTCATATTTCGGCAGTGAAATTGGCTCTGTAGATGTGGATGGCGATGGGGTAACGGATGTGCTGTTGGTTGGATCTCCAATGTTCTTCAGTGAAGCGAGGGAGCGTGGCCGTGTCTCTGTCTATGTCATGAGAGAGGTAGGTCTGTCACACTGATCACTGATTATATTAAAGTGGATGGGGAATTTTTTGTGTTGCTTACACCCTTTACGTATAGGACCTAGGAAAGGAACTTTTTGGAGCAATGTTTACCCAAACTGCTCACTCAACCCAACTTATATACATAAGGGTTTAGACCCCGCGCCTGAATTCCTTCGACAGCACACATTTCTTTTTCTTTTTTTTTTTGTGGAAGCGGTGGAAAGTGAAACTTGTGTGCAACGTGAGGTTTTTCCATGCCTGTCATTAGATTTCATTTCTTTTAGGGAGTTGCATGCCTGACTTCTGAAGCTCTATTGCTGCCTTTGCGTTCTGTCTGTTAGCCCTGGTTCACATCGCCGCGATTTCAGGTGCAATTTGGGAATTGAAATCGTACCTGAAATTGGATCTAATGAATGTGAATGTGAGTGTCTGAGATGTAAGGGGCCACTCTGATGGGCACACCTGATGTAAAGGGGCACTCTGATCGGCACAGCTGATGTATAGGGGTGCTCTGATAGGGACAACTGATGCAGGGGGTACTCTAATGGGGACACCTGATATAGAGGGGCATGCTGATGGGGGACATCTGATGTAAAGGGGGCACTCTGATAGGGATACCTGATGTAAGGGGGCACTAGAATGGGGGTATCTGATGTATGGGGGCACTATAATGGGGACACCTGATGTATAGGGGGGTGCTCTGATAGGGATAACTGATGTAGGGGGTGGTCTAATGGGGACACCTGATATAGAGGGGCATGTTGATGGGGGACATCTGATGTAAAGGGGGCACTCTGATAGGAATACCTGATGTAAGGGGGCAGCTGATGTAGGGAGTGCTCTAATGGGGACACCTTGGTCTAGAGGGGCATGCTGATGGGGGACATCTGATGTAAAGGGGGCACTCTGATAGGGATACCTGATGTAAGGGGGCACTTTAATGTGGATATCTGATGTATGGGGGCACTATAATGGGGATACCTGATGTATAGGGGTGCTCTGATAGGGATACCTGATGTAAGGGGGCACTTTAATGGGGATATCTGATGTATGGGGGCACTATAATGGGGATACCTGATGTATAATGGTGCTCTGATAGGACAACTGATGTAGGGGGTGTTCTAATGGGGACACCTGATATAGAGGGGCATACTGATGGGGGACATCTGATGTAAGGGGGCACTATAATAGGGATAGCTGAGGTATGGGGGCACTATAATGGGGACACCTGATGAATAGGGGTGCTCTGATAGGGACAACTGATGTAGGGGGTGCTCTAATGAGGACACCTGATATAGAGGGGCATGTTGATGGAGACCACTGATGTAAAGGGGTCACTCTGATAGGGATACCTGATGTAAGGGGGGCACTATAATAGGGATAGCTGAGGTATGGGGGCACTATAATGGGGACACCTGATGTATAGGGGTGCTCTGATAGGGACAACTGATTTAGGGGGTGCTCTAATGGGGACACCTGATATAGAGGGGCATACTGATGGGGGACATCTGATGTAAAGGGGGGCACTCTGATAGGGATACCTGATGTAAGGGGGCAGCTGATGTAGGGGGTGCTCTAATGGGGACACCTGATATAGAGGGGCATGCTGATGGGGGACATGTGATGGGGGAATGTGAGTGTCTGGACATACGCGATTTGCTGTGGCGCACATTCAAAAGTAGTTCTTGTATTACTTTTTCTGCAGTTTGTTGCGATTTCACACATAGACTACAATAGAAATCGCACTGCAAAACGCAATGGAAAACGCAAGAAATCTTTGGGAAATCTAAAACAAATCTTCAAAACGCGCAATTTCAAATCGCAACCAAGCTTAATCCTACTAACCTGACAGCCTTACACCCTTTCGGAGTGACCCATCACTTGCCTCCCCCCTTCCTCACAGCACAACTCCCAGATTCCTGGGGAGGCCCTTGCCAGATATAGTCACCGGTCACACCATTGCGATTTAAAATTGCGCGGTTTGTGTGCAATTTCAGGTGCCATTTCTGAAGACTTTATTGCGACTTGTGAAGATTTTCAATGAATTCTTGCAAATTTGCAGCGCGAGATTCATTCTATGCATTCTATTCTATGTATGTGAAATCGTAACAAAACTGCAGCAAAAGTCATGCGAGAGCTGCTTTAGAAATCGCGCCGCAGCAAATCACACGTGGTAAGACACAACATTCACATTCATTAGACGGCATGGCAAAGCTTACGGCACGGCTCAAAGCTGAAAAAAATTGCGATCGCCCCACCAGCAAGGAAAAAGGGGAACAGCGCCCCAAGTAATCCAGAGGCTGGAAAATGTATGTGAGTGGAGGGAAAATAGACGCTGCACCTGCTAATCCCAAGGAGTCAGAGAGAGAGAGACGCTATGTTGTGTGTGGCCTTAACCGTCACTCCAGCCATGCTGTCTGACGCAGTTTGCCCCACCCACTGACGCATTTCGCCCCACCTCTGTGACCCAGCCCCCTATGGGTGGGGCGAAACGCATTAGCGAGCATGGCGAAAGTGACGGCTGAGGCCACGCACAACATGGCGTCTTTCTCTCTCTGACGTCTTGGGATCGGTATGAGCAGCGTCCATCTTCCCTCCACGCACATTCATTAGATGCGATTTCAGGTGCGATTTCAATTCGCAAATCACACCTGAAATCACACACCGGGCACTTATCTGGGAAATCCTATCCCGAGATTGGAGAATCAGCAAGGTCATCCTTGCAATTTAATCCATGAGCTAGTCTGATGCAGACACTTCTGTGTCCCGGTGTCACTTTTCCAAGCCAGTATGTGATCTCCACTCCACTAGATTCATTGGAGGAAAGGTGAGACATTGGGGGTCTTATAGACTCTTTATGTCTCATTAAAGAGAACCTGTCACCAAAAAAAAAATCATCACGTAGGGGACTTTTTGTCTCCTATGTGATGAATAAAAAAAAAGGTTAGTAAACAAAAAGGGGAATAAAGTGTAAAAAAAAATGTAAGTTACATCCAAGCACTTCAAATGCCCCTGAAAAAAAAATGTGAGCCCCACCCACCACCCACCACCATACCCGCACATTCAAATGTGAATGCTTGCATCAGAGGCGCCTACACACGAAATCATTGATTGCACCTACATACTGTATTGACACACATGCCGGAAATCAGTAATTCTAGGCTCATTATTCATTTTCACCTCGAAACTGATGACCTGTAGAGCTTTTAAACCGACACCTATGGAAAATATAGGGTACTGAAGTTTGTCGCCATTTCATGGGCATACACAATTTTAAGGCTTGACTTGTTGGGTTTCTATATATTCGTCGCAAACCTGATCTATTATATTTTACCAAGATATTAGGTAATATACTGGGGTAGATTTACTAAAACTGGAGAGTGCAAAATCTGGTGCAGCTGAGCATGGCAGCCAATCAGCTTATAGCTTCAGCCTGTTTAGTTAAGCTTTGAAGAAAAAAAAAAAACCTGGAAGCTGATTGGTTTCTATGCAGAGATGCACCAGATTTTGCACGCTCCAGTTTGAGTAAATCAACCCCCATAGTGTTTACAGTGAAGGAAATGCGTATTTGCTCCCCGGCTGATGCTGAATGTTCGCCCCTACACACAGAAATGATCGGTCTAACAATGGAATGTTCGGGTGTAACACTGAGAGACAGAATACAACAACAAATTCAGCAGAAATGCGTCTAACAAATGATGACTGATCTGCATGTTCATGAGGGAAAGAAGGATTTGATCCCCTTCACAAAACATGACTTAGTACTTGGTGGCAAATCCCTTGTTGGCAATCACAGAGGTCAGACGTTTCCTGGAGTTGGCCCCCAGGTTCATACACATCTCAGGAGGGATTTTGGCCCACTCCTCTTGGCAGATCCTCTCCAAGTCTTTAAGGTTTGGTGGCTGACGTTTGGCAACTCAAACTTTCAGCTCCCTTCACAGAATTTCAATGGGATTGAGGTCTGGAGACTGGCTAGGCCACTCCAGGACCTTAACCTCCCTGGCGGTATGATTATTTCAGATTTTTGGTGCTGAAAGCGGTACCATTTTTTTGCATGGAAATATGTATTTTTTTTATTGTAGGCTGTAATTTTTAGGAAAAACTCACTGAAATCTGTCCGAACAAGAGTCTAGTAAACATCCCGGGTATGATAAAATTTGAAACACAAAATCATAAAATTATAATTTAATAAATAATCATAAAAATAATATAAAAATAATAAAAAATTTAATTCAATAATATAATCAAACCAAAAACACTGAAATGTGAAATAGAGCGCCAAGTTCGCACATTGCTGAGCTCAGTCGCAAAATCGTTTTCAGTGTCTGATGAGGAATTTCCCCCACGAATCATTATCACTCAATTCTGCAAGTGGTTCTGATTTACTATCGCTGTTCTCTAGCTGATCTAAACCGCTTTTGACCTAAAGGGACACCTTTTGGACGCCATGGACGTTTCTCAGTTTCCAGGCAGAAAGAACAGACAAAATGCAGGCAGGGTGCCGGACAAAGCACTCGGGACAAAATGTATGTGAAATTGGTTGAGACAGCAATGTTTTACTATGTAAAATGTAAAAAAAAAAAAAAAATGACATTTTTTAAAATGTTTAAATTTCCCGCCGCCGCCGGCGGCGGCGCCCGCGCCGTACGTCCCGCCGTCACAGGGACAAGACACAGAAGCCGGATGCCGGCATCGGCCGGAGGAGATGGCCGGGGACGCTGCAGGGGACACATCGTGGGAGCGCAGGGTAAGGTAAGTGAAGAACACATGCCGGAGCAGTGCCGCAGGGTAAGCCCGAGTGTAGCTCGGGGTTACCGCTTTTGGTACTGAAATGTTACCCCGAGCTACACTCGGGAATACCGCCAGGGAGGTTAATGTGCTTCTTCTTGAGCCGCTCCTTTGTTGCCTAGGCCGTGTGTTTTGGGTCATTGTCATGCTGGAACACCCATACACGACCCATTTTCAATGCCCTGGCTAAGGGAAGAAGGTTCTCACCCAAGATTTGATGGTACATTGCCCCGTCCATCGTCCCTTTGATGTAGTGCAGTTGTCCTGTCCCCTTAGCAGAAAAACCCCCCCAAAGCAGAATGTTTCCACCACCATGTTTCACAGTTGGGATGGTGTTCTTGGGGTCATAGGCAGCATTGCTCCTCCTCCAAACACAACGAGTTGAGTTGATGCCAAAGAGCTTGATTTTAGTCTCATCTGACCACAACACTTCCACCAGTCCTCCTCTGCATCATTCAGATGTTCAGTGGCAGACTTCAGACAGGGCTGGACATGTGCTTTTTTGAGCAGTGGGACCTTGCGGGCACTGCAGGATTTCAGTCCTTGTCGGCGTAGTGTGTTACCAATTGTTTTCTTGGTGACTGTGGTCCCAGCTGCCTGGAGATCATTGACAAGATCCTCACGTGTAGTTCTGGGATGATTCCTCACTGTTCTCATGATCATTGACACTCCACGAGGTGAGATCTTGCATGGTGCACCAGACCTAGGGAGACTGACACTTGTTTTGTGTTTCTTCCATTTGTGAATGATTGCACCAACTGTTGTCACCTTCTCACCAAGCTGCTTGGCCATAGTTTGGTAGCCCAGTCCAGCCTTGTGTAGGTCTACAATCTTGTCCCTGACATCCTTGGACAGCTCTTTGGTCTTTGCCATGGTGGAGAGTTTGGAATCTGATGGTTTGATTGCTCCTGTGGACAGGTGTCTTTTATACAGGTAACACAATGAGATTAGCAGCACTCCCTTTAAGAGACTGCTTCTAATCTCAGCTTGTTACCTGTATGAAAGACACCTGGTAGCCAGAAATCCTGCTGAATGATAGGGGATCAAATCCTTCTTTCCCTCATGAACATGCAGATCAGTCATCATTTGTTAGACGCATTTCTGCTGAATTTGTTGTTGCTCTTCTGTCTCTCAGTGTTACAATACACCGAACATTCGATTTTTAGACCGATCATTTCTTTGTGAGGGGCGAACATTCAACATCAGCCGGGGATCAAATACTTATTTCCTTCACTGTATGCTAAAACGGCTCTGGCAGTGAAAAGGTTAAGTCTGTTGTTGATTCGTTTCCGTTTTTTTATCATCTGACTAGAGCGACCTGAAATCGAATCGGCTCCTCTGGTCAATGCACTTTGCACTGAATTATTAAGTAAACATCTAAGTGCAGCAATGCGGAAGTCAGCTCAGAAAACGTTCTTCAGTTTGCTGTTGCTGCCAAATTCTTAACCCAGAAAAATATTCATTATGCTCTCGCCAAATTCTTGTGAAAAAAAAAACACGGCAAACTATTCCTCATTGTTTATATTACAAAAATAATAATTCACAATGTTTAAAAAATGCTGACGGATTTTTAATCCGCTGCGTAGCATAGAGATATCTGTGACGTTCCTCCCGAGTTGGCCCTTTCCGTACAACTATGGGAAAATAAAGATCATATCATAAGCCTTCAACTCCAAGTTAAGAGTGAAGATCACCCCAACAATCTTTAGGTGTTTATTTTAGTGACTCCAGTGTGTTGGGTGTCATTAGCCTTCATGAATAAGCATTTACTGATTTGCTTGAGTCAACACAAACAACAATTTAAATACAATATGGAAATGAGACAATTCAAACGAGTAACCATCCCCCAGTGCAGGGCTGCCGTAATAAACCACGGGGCCCCATACAGCCAACTTGACAGGGCGCCTCCCCCAAAAAAAAACCCCCACAGTTTACTATGCTTCAGGTATGAATGAACACATTGAGTAATTGCTACCGCCCACTCATTGTGTTCATTCAGGAAAGGAAGGGGGCTAGTAAATGTGACATATTTACTGGACCCTTCCCCCCTTTTCCAGTCTGAAGGATCCTATTGTGTGCTTGCAGCTGCGTGTGGGAAGGGGAAATGAAGCCGGCAGATCTGCAGGGGGTGGGTGCACGCAGGGGGGAACATATGGTGCACAGGGATGGTGATTGGTGCATTGGGAGGGCAATTACTGGCACTGATCCCCTTTGTGGCTCTCTCTACAACAGCTGAAAGCCAGTGGGAGGGAGAGGAGAAGAAGCCAGCTTTTTTGTTGCTCATCTAATGATATTTCCAACTAACCAATGTTCTAACCCAGCAATGGGCAAACTACGGCCCGGCGGACCTTTTAATCCGGCCCGCGGAGCTAGGCTCCCATTAGGCTCCTCTCACAGTCCGCCCTGAAGACCCGTGTAGCATGAAAATCTGTCTCCTATGAGGATCTGTCCCCCCCGACGTATCTGCGCATGTGCCGGAGATCGCCGATCGGTTGCTAATGCCTGAAACTGGCACATGCGCAGATACGTCGAGGGGGACAGATCCTCATAGGAGACAGATTTTCATGCTACACCGGAACGGCGCGGGAACACGGCGAGAGGAACGCGCGGAGCAAAGGTAAGTGAATTGACACAGGGGGGACTTGGGAACTTAATATAGGGGATGAATTAATATGGGGAATGAATTACTATATGGGGGATGAACTTACTATGGGGGATGACTTTACTATGGGGGATGAATTACTATGGGGGATGAATTACTATATGGGGGATGAATTACTATGGGGGGATGATTACTATGGGGGATGAATTACTATATGGGGGATGAATATTACTATATGGGGGATGAATTACTATATGGGGGATGAATTACTATGGGGGATGAATTTACTATGGGGGATGAATTACTATATGGGGGAATTACTATATGGGGGATGAATTACTATATGGGGGATGAATTACTATATGGGGGATGAATTACTATGGGGGATGAATTACTATATGGGGGATGAATTACTATATGGGGGATGAATTACTATGGGGGATGAATTACTATATAGGGGATGAATTACTATATATGGGGGGATGAATTACTATATGGGGGATGAATTACTATGGGGGATGAATTACTATGGGGGGGATGAATTACTATATGGGGGATGAATTACTATGGGGGATGAATTACTATGGGGGATGCTATATGGGGGATGAATTTACTATGGGGGATTATATGCTTACTATGGGGGAATACTATACTTACTATGGATGACACATACACATCATTCATCTACTCTTGGTCCGGCCCCCGGGTCCAATAAATGAACCCATTGCGGCCCTCAAGTCAAAAAGTTTGCCCACCCCTGGTCTAACCCATCAGAATTAAAAAAAAAAGTTTTGAGTGGACTTATACAGTAAAGTAGTAGCATTCAAAACGCAAACCGTATAATCACAATTCCGAAGAGATGGCAGGGAGCTGTTGACTAATTTTGTTTTTGCAAGCAAACGTCTTCCATATGTGTGAAGGACAATATTATTCCCACTGCTGAGATTGTTTTGGAATAGCCAATGTTTTCAGAATTTGCAGACTTTTTTCAGTACAGGGGTTCTCTTCCTTTTTCTACACACTGTACTATATTGTGGAACTGTGTTCTGGTCTTGTTACAGAAACGCTTTGTTCCAGATGGAGCTTTGCGTGACTTGGACAGCTCACAAAATTCACGCTTTGGATATGCCATCTCTGCAGTGCCAGACCTAAACCAAGACTCTTTCAATGACGTGGTGATCGGGGCACCTCTAGAAGATGGCCATAAGGGTGCCATTTATATCTTCCACGGATTCAAGAAAAACATATTGAAGAAATACAAGCAGGTACAAATCTAAATTGCTAAATATTTATATGATTGATAAAAAATCTAATTGATCTATGTCACCTTCGCATTTTTACACTTTGTATCAGCGTTGACCTAAAGTGGAATTGTAGTCAAAAACAGGGGCGGACTGACAACTCATGGGGCCCCCGGGCAATAGGGGATCATGGGACCCCTGTGTCCTTGCCCAAACTCAAAAATGCATATGAAAAAGGTACCAGGGGCATCTCATGGGGCCCCCTACTGACCCCGGGCCCTCGGGCAGTGCCTGAGTTTCAAATGGTCAGTCCGCCCCTGGTCAAAAACTAACTAACGCCAAACCAACTCTATCCCACATTCCAAGCCTGATCTATCTAGCCCAGAAAACCCAAATCACTCTACTTACCTGTTCTGCAGCCGCTCCGGTCCAGTCCCATGCTGAGCTGTCATCCATGACTGCAGTGTGTGGGAGTGTGGAGAAGAGGCAGCTGACAACGGAAGTCCCATAGTGACTGACTCTATGGGTGACGTCACATCCCAAGCATTTCACAGCTCTTGTCAGTTCTTTCCTGCACTCCTGCATGGAATGTGGCATAGAGTAGGTTTAGCATTAGTTAGTTTTTAACTATATTTCCACTTTAAAGGTAACTCCACTTTCATTGAAAAAATATTATTATTATTATACAGGATTTATGGTGCCAACAGTTTGCTCAGCGCTTTACAAATATAACGGGAGACAATACAGCAACAATACAGTTCAATACAAGAGGGATAGGACCAGGGGCGGACTGACCATTTGAGCACTTGGGCACTGCCCGGGGTCAGTAGGGAGCCCCATGAAATGCCCCTTGTACCTTTTATAGGCTTTTTTGGGTGTGCTTTATGTGTGGGAAAGGACACAGGGGCCCCATGATCCCCTGTTGCCCGGGGGCCTCATGAGTTGTCAGTCTGCCCCTGGCTAGGAGGGCCTGATCCTGGGAGCTTACAATCTAAGAATAAAGCAAATAGAAAAAATAATATAATATAGACCAGGGCTTGAAAAAGCCACTCGCCAAATGCGAGGAGAAATTCTCTACCGGCGAGCACAGATAATGGAGCGGCTGCGCTCCAAGCCTCATTGTGAAGCCGAGTTCCGGTTTCCAACTTCCGGGTTTCCGGATTCTTCGACACTGCCGCTGAGGGGACAGGTGCAGGAGAGGTCCACTCTCCTCCGCTGAGAGGAGACACCCTCTCCACCGCTGTGGGGGACTCAAGGAGTAAGTATTGTATACATGTCATATCACTATAATGGAGTACAGGGGAGCTGGGATATACATTACTGTATACAGTTTTATATTTTTCTAAAGAAAAAAATGTAATTTCATAAGCTTTAAGGGGGCGTGGTGGGGGCAGGGTTGGGGGACGGGGGTGGGGTTGGAGGCTGACCTGGGCAAGGTTGGGTGGGGCAACTGGTGGAGAGTAAGGTTTGTGCCTGGCTAGTAGGTCTAGACTCAAAATTTTAAGCCCTGATATAGACACCTGCTACACAAGCCATGTTCTAATTTAATGTTATTAAAAATTACCTTTCCATTTTAGCCTGCAGCCGCTGTAATTTTCTGTAAAATTCAATGCAATATGGCAACCTGGAGGTGTTCCTTATGCCGTTGGTGTATGGAATGCCACCAGAAATGTCACTTCCTGCTTGTATTATTGGCTGACTGATTTTTGACTCGCTGGCTGACTGATTTTCTCAGAAGTCTGCACTATGATACAAGACAAATTGTGGGCATCCTCTGCATTAGCAATTTCAGTCTTGGTGAGATTATTCCCAGGGGTGTTGGTAGACCCTGGCACCCAGACCACATACCCCAGGTCTTCTACTGAAAACCCCAGGTCTTCTACAGAGTGCCCGGGTCTTCTACTGAGTGCCTCAGGTCTTGTACTGAGTGCCTCAAGTCTTCTACTGAGTGTCCTGGGTCTTCTACTGAATGCCCTAGGTCTTCTACTGAGGGCTCCAAGTCTTCTACTGAATGTCCTGGGTCTTCTATTGAGTGCTTCAGGTCTTCTGCTAAGTGTCCCAGGTCTTCTATTGGTTCCTGAAGTCCTCCACTGAGTGCCCCAGGTCTGCTGCTTAGTGCTTCTGGTCTTCTACTGAATTCCCTAGGTCTTCAACTGAATTCCCCAAGTCTTCTACTGAATTCCTCAAGTCTTCTACTGAGTGCCCCAGGTCTTCTACTGGGTGCCCCAGGTCTTCTAGTGAGTGCCCCAAGTCTTCTACTGTTTGCCCCAAGTCTTCTACTGAATGCCCCATGTCTTCTACTGAGTGTTCCAGGTTTTTCTACTGAGTGCCCCAAGATTTCTGATGAGTACCCTGGGTCTTCTACTGAGTGCACTAGGTCTTCTACTGAGTGCCCAGGTTGTCTACTGAGTGTACTTGGTCTTCTACTGAGTGCCCTGGGCCCTCTACTGAGTTCCTGAAGTCTCCCACTAAGTGCCTTGGGTCTTCTGCTTAGTGCCTTGGGTCTTCTACTGAGTTCCCTGAGTCTTCTACTGAGTTCTCCAAGCCTTCTACTGAGTGCCCCAGGTCTTCTACTGAGTGCTCCAGGTCTTCTACTGAGGGGTCCATGTCTTCTACTGGGTACCCCAAGACTTCAACTGAGTGCCCCGGGTCTTCTACTGAATGCACCAGGGCTTCTACTGAGTGCCCCAAGTCCTCTAATGAGTGCATCATGTTTCTACTGAGTGCCCTGGGTCTTCTACTGAATGCCCCAGGTCTTCTAGTGAGTGCCCTAGGTGTTCTACTGAGTGCCTCAGGTCTTCTAGTGAGTGTCCAAGTCTTCTGCTGAGTGCCCTGGGTCTTCTACTGTGTGCCCTAACTCTTCTACTAAATGCTCCAGGTCTTCTACTGAATTCCCTAAGTCTTCTACTGAATGTCCCAGGTGTTGTCCTGAGTGCCCCAGGTCTTCTAGTGAGTGCCCCAGGTCTTCTAGTGAGTGTGCCCCAAGATTTCTGGTGAGTGCCCTAGCTCTTCTACTGAGTGCACTAGGTTTTCTACTGAATGCCCCAAGTTGTCTACTGAGTGTACTTGGTGTTCTACTGAGTGTCCTAAGTCTTCTAATGAGTGCCCGAGTTTTCTACTGAGTGCACTAGGTCTTCTTCTGAATGCCCCAGATCTTCAACTGAGTGCCCCAGGTCTTCTACTAGGTGCACCAGGTCTTCTACTACGTGTCTTGCAGTTCCTACTGAGTGCCCCAAGTCTTCTACTAAGAGCTCCAGGTCTTCTTTTGAGCACCCCAAGACATCTACTAAGTGAACCAGGTCTCTTTTGAGATATGGAGATGATGTATTCTATGCATTATACAGTTCTGTAACATTGTAAAATGTGTCTACTTCTCAATACATCTATTGTTTGTTTTGCCATCATAAAGTGACATTTCTGTTTTTAGAGCAATTCATTTTTGTTCAGTTAAAAATTTTATTTTACCTTTAGATCTGTTCCAAAGAGGTCATCAAGGTATCTTATCAGCCCTCAACATTTTAATCTGTGTGTTTTGTTTTTGTGTTCAATACCACTTTAATTTTGTTTTTGTATTCTTATGTTTTCAGCGCATTGCTGCAGCAGACTTGTCACCCACACTGGAATATTTCGGCTGCAACATTCATGGAGAGATGGATATGAATGAGGATGGCCTGGTGGATCTGGCAGTGGGTTCTATGGGAAATGCTGTTCTTCTTTGGTATGTACTAATACAGACAAAATTTATTATAAGTCAGGGGTCTCTAAGTTTCTCTAAACAGGACCAGTTCACTGACATTCAGACTATAGGTGTTATGATCCGCCAGGTGGTGCCTCTGGCAGTCCACTGGACAGACCTACCCAAAGCGTGGAATCTAAGTCCCGGTCTGTGCTTTCACCAGGGCCCCTGATGGTGGGGATGGACTTGTAACAGACCAGGGCCAGGTCACGACCTCCGAGCAGGCCTACCAGTGGCAGAGGCAACCTCCGGGGATGTATGGGTACCGGGAGAGCCAGATGTAAGGAGGACGGCGGGACCTAGCAGGATGGGTCACGAGCAGCGGTCCCGTGGGGTAAGCGAGGTACAGAATCGGCAAGCAAAGAGTAGTCAGGTCACACACAGGGTCAGCAGGATAAGTCAGTCCGCAGATAGGTCAAACAAGCTGGGGATCAGGAGTGGAGAAGGCAGCGTAGTCAAATGGTCGGTCCGCCTCTGGGTGGGCCACATTGTAGCCAGTGGGAGTAGAAAATGTCTCGGAATCAGTGGTTAGTAAACAATGCCTCAGGCTTGGTGGGAGAATAATTTCTCACCATTGCTGTCAATGGGGGAAATAGTGCCCCATAATTGGTGTCATTGTTGGTATCGATGGCAGAAATTATACCCCAGTTTTGGTGTCCAGTGAGAGGAACAGTGCTTTGTAGCAGTGTGAGGAATAGTGTCTCATCACTGGTACTGGTGTCCTATTGTTGGTGTCCGTGGCAGGATATATGCCTCAATGTTGGTGTCAGTGGAAGGAACAGTGCTCCATTGTTGGTGTCAGCAGCAGGAATTATGCCCCAATATTTGTGTTCAGTGGGAGGAATAATGCCCCATCATTGGTGTCAGCAGCAAGAATTATGCCCCAATATTGGTGTTCAGTGGAAGGAATAATGATTTGTAGAAGTGGGAGAGTAGTGCCCCATCATTGGTATCAGCATTGGTGTCCATGGCAGGAATTATGCCACAGTGTTGCTGTCTAGTGGGAGGAATAGTAGCCTTTCATTGGTGTCAGTGGGAGCAAAAGTCCCTCATCATTGGTGTTAGTGGCAAGAATTATGCCCCACTCTTGGTGTCCAGTTGGAGGAATATTGCCCCAAGGACCAGATATAGGATAGCATAGGGCCACAGTTTCGAGACCACTTGAGACCACTCTTTCAAGTAACCAGACTTTCTGCAGCATGAAGTGACTAACAGAATAAATGCTTCCAAGTTCAGTGCATTAAAAATGCCCATATGGAAGAAAAATATTTTTGAAACATATTTTACGAATATTCTTCTCAAATATATTGCCATATACTTGAAATGCTACAATTTTGGCCATATTCATATATATATATATATATATATATATATATATATATATATATATATATAGATAGATATAGATATTATTTATTTTATATATCTGCATGTTGAAATGAACTATTACAAAATATATGAAAAATATTTTTAAAAATGCATTTCAAATATACTGTAGGTCTTTAAAAATACAAATCTGCATTTTTGGACTGCATTTACAAATATAGGTAAAAATATATGTTAAAATTACTTTTTTATAGGTTAAAAAAAATCTGAAGAATATATTTTAAAACAATATATTAAAAAATATAAAGACATACAGTATATTTTAAATGTTTATTTTTAAAAATATTTTTCATATATTTTGTAATAAAAACACATTTCAACATGCAGCAGTGTATATATATACAGTGGGGCAAAAAAGTATTTAGTCGCCACCAATTGTGCAAGTTCTCCCACTTACAAAGATGAGAGAGGCCTGTAATTGGCATCATAGGGAGACCTCAACTATGAGAGACAAAATGAGAAAACAAATCCAGACAATCTCATTGGCTGATCTGGAAAGAATTTATTTGCAAATTATGGTGGAAAATAAGTATTTGGTCACCTACAAACAAGCAAGATTTCTGTCTCTCACAGACCTGTACCTTCTTCTTTAAGAGGCTCCTCTGTCCTGCACTCATTACCTGTATCAATGGCACCTGTTTGAACTTGTTATCAGTATAAAAGACACCTGTCCACAACCTCAAACAGTCACACTCCAAACTCCACTATGGTGAAGACCAAAGGGCTGTCGAAGGACACCAGAAACAAAATTGTAGACCTGCACCAGGCTGGAAAGACTGAATCTGCAATAGGCGAGCAGCTTGGTGTGAACAAATCAACTGTGGGAGCAATAATTAGAAAATGGAAGACATACAAGACCACTGATAATCTCCCTCCATCTGTTGCTCCACGCAAGATCTCACCCCGTGGGGTCAAAATGATCACAAGAACGGTGAGCAAAAATCCCAGGACCACACGGGGGGACCTAGTGAATGACCTGCAGAGAGCTGGGACCAACGTAACAAAGGCTACCATCAGTAACACACTACACCGCCAGGGACTCAGATCCTGCAGTGCCAGACGTGTCCCCCTGCTTAAGCCAGTACATGTCCGGACCCGTCTGAAGATTGCTAGAGAGCATTTGGATGATCCAGAAGAGGATTGGGAGAATGTCATATGGTCAGATGAAACCAAAATAGAACTGTTTGGTAGAAACACAACTCGTCGTGTTTGGAGGAGAGAGAATGCTGAGTTGCATCCAAAGAACACCATACCTACTGTGAAGCATGGGGGTGGCAACATCATGCTTTGGGGCTGTTTCTCCGCAAAGGGACCAGGACGACTGATCCATGTACAGGACAGAATGAATGGGGCCATGTATCGTGAGATTTTGAGTGCAAACCTCCTTCCATCAGCAAGGGCATTGAAGATGAAACGTGGCTGGGTCTTCCAACATGACAATGATCCCAAACATACCGCCTGGGCAACGAAGGAGTGGCTTCGTAAGAAGCATTTCAAGGTCCTGGAGTGGCCTAGCCAGTCTCCAGATCTCAACCCCATAGAAAACCTTTAGAGGGAGTTGAAAGTCCGTGATGCCCAGCGACAGCCCCAAACACATCACTGCTCTAGAGGAGATCTGCATGGAGGATGGGCCAACATACCAGCAACAGTGTGTGCCAACCTTGTGAAGACTTCCAGGAAACGTCTGACCTCTGTCATTGCCAACAAAGGATATATAACAAAGTATTGACATGAACTTTTCATATTCACCAAATACTTATTTTCCACCATAATTTGCAAAAAAAAAATTCTTTCCAAATCAGCCAATGTGATTGTCTGGATTTGTTTTCTCATTTTGTCTCTCATAGTTGAGGTCTCCCTATGATGCCAATTACAGGCCTCTCTCATCTTTGTAAGGGGGGGAACTTGCACAATTGGTGGCTGACTAAATACTTTTTTGCCCCACTGTATGGGCAGCACAGTGTCCAAAGACATGCTGGTAGGTGAATTGGCTCCTGTCTACATTGTCCCTAGTATGTGTATGTATGAATGTGAGTTAGGGACCTCAGATTGTACGCCCCTTGAGGGTTAGGGACTGATGTGAATGTACAATATATATGTAAAGTGCTGCTTAAATTGACAGCGCTATATAAGTACATGAAATAAATAATAAATATATATATATTTATTTAAATATACTTTGAAATATATTGAATACGGCCAAAATTGTAGCAAAAATATATGGCAATATATTTGGGAACCATATTTTTAAAATATATTTCAAATATATTTTTCTTCCATGTGGGTGGATATCTCAGTTAGAGGTGGATTCTGTTGGTCTAAGCCATGTGCTGAGAATGTTAAGAGCCATCTTTAACGGTGACCAAAACACTTATCAATACGATCAATTATTTGTTCATTTAATGAGATTAAACTGATCAACCAGAATAAAATAACAAGGCGGTTGCGGCACAACCCCAATCACTTGAAAGATTCACATTTGGCGGCAACCAACGTGGCAGGCGGTATCATTTTTGCCAGCCATTGTAGCTTAAGGTGGGTGGGCAGTAAAACCTGGACTCAGCTGCCTATACCCAGGGGCGGACTGACCATTTGGAAACTCGGGCACTGCCCGAGGGCCCAGGGTCAGTAGGGGGCCCCATAAGATGCCCCTGGTACCTTTTTCATAGGCTTTTTTGAGTTTGGGCAAGGACACAGGGGCCCCATGATCCCCTATTGCTCGGGGGCCCCATGAGTTGTCAGTCCGCCCCTGCCTATACCCCAGCCGTAGTGTGAACGAGCCCTATGTGAACTCTTGACTCTGCCAAGTTGAATTTTCTCCAATCGATCATACAACATGTGAATCAGAGAACTGATCATACTACAGATTGATATTTTCAGTAGATGGGCAAGTGCTGAACAATACCGTGTGCATTGCATTGTTTGATATTTTAATCAATTTTGAGTCGCTTGGTTGTGATCGGTTACTAATAAAAGAGAAGTATGGCTGTGACGGACCGCCTGGCACTCTGCTTCAGTGCCTCTGTAAGGGGACTACTTCCTTACTGCTGGGACACGGGACCAAGGTATTGTAGCTGGCCATCGCACCCAAGGACTAAACAACACTAGTTTAGGTACAAGTGGAACTCTTTATATGATCACAAATTCAGGTTTTTATACACTTCAGTAATAGGGGCAGTCCCCACATGAACAATAAAAATAAATCTTACACATTGGGATAAACATCCCACGCTGATTTGCTAAGGAGGTATCGCTAACACCAGACTAATCCCATCATGTAGGAACCTCCAGGAAGTGTAGCGAACAGACAGAAACAATAGGTGACTCAATTAACAATGGGACAAAGGCAAACACGTAGCATTTTAATAAGCAGATTACAGCAAGAGACCTAAGCATCAGGTTGTTTTGAGCTGATTATATTAACATCTGCTCTTAATCTCTGAGTCTAGAAGGGGGGTGGGTTAAAGCCAGGGGTGGACTGACAAATCATGGGGCCCCCGGGCAATAGGGGAATATGGGGCCCCTGTGTCCTTGCCCAAACTCAAAAAAGACTATGAAAAAGGTACCAGGGGCATCTCATGGGGCCCCCTACTGACCCCGGGCCCTTGGGCAGTGCCCGAGTTTCCAAATGGTCATTCCGCCCCTGGTTAAAGCAGTCAATACTGGTTTTGGCAGAGAGACCCCAAATCTGTATCCTGGTCCTCCAGTTCTCAGAGCCTGTACGTTTTGGGGAAATATGGTCTTGAATCCGAAGTAAAAACTACTCCAAAGGTCCCTCCTAGGCACAACCTTCCCAAAGAATAGAGCCTCCTCAGATGCCAGGGCCCATAGTTCATAGGCAAAAGGCAAGCCTGCAGTCCCCTTCAAAAGCCCCTGTGTCGGTTGGCTCTGTCACAGGGGCCAAAGCTTCTTTGATCACACTTCTCTTCTGGATCACAGGGTTGCACTTTCTTTTGCTGTCCTGTGACCCAGAATCAGCTAACAGCAGGCTGAAGTCTGCTGCCTGACTTCACAGAGCTGCTCCAGGCTCTGGAAGGATCCCGACAATATTGTCGGGATCCACCCAGTTGCCTGATTGACAGCTGGCTCTGCCTTTCAGCATGCAAATGAGAGCCAGAGCTAGCTGCGACTAAGCTAGCTCACAGTTTGCCCTTTGGATGTTCCCACTCACAAGGGATGAGCTTGGGTTTGGGTCGGAAAGCAGCTGTTAGTGCCGGGCCAATAAGTTATTGACCTAATATGGCCGAGTCAGCCCCTGTTGACCTGATGGGTCCGGGACCTTATACAGGTCACCTTCATGTACTCACCCATGGGCATCCCTGATCATACATTACAAAATTAATCACATGTAACTTTCTTTACTCCACCATCACGGTCACCATCTTTCTTTTTTTGAGGTGGGTGTGCTATATGATTTCTGTCCAAAAAAGAAATGATGGTCAGTAAAAGTTTAGCAGCACAGTGGCTAAATGGTTATCACTTCTGCCTGGCAGTACTAGGGTCGTTGGTTTGAATCCCAACCATGGTACCACCCGACTGGAGTTTGCATGTTCTCCCTGTGCCTGCGTGGCTTTCCTCCCACACTCCAAAGACATGCTGGTAGGTAAATTGGTCCTAGTGTATGTATGAATGTGAGTTAGGGACCTTAGATTGTACGCCCCTTGAGGGTTAGGGACTAGGGTCATTGGTTCCGATCCCAACCACTGCACCACCTGCCTGGAGTTTGCATGTTCTCCCTGTGCCTGCCTGGGTTTGCTCCTACACTCCAAAGACATGCTGGTAGGTTAATTGGCTCCTGTCTAAATTGTCCCTAGTATGTGTATGTATGAATGTGAGTTAGGGACCTTAGATTGTACGCCCCTTGAGGGTTAGGGATTAGGGTCATTGGTTTGAATCCCAACCGCTGCACCACCTGCCTGGAGTTTGCATGTTCTCCCTGTGCCTGCGTGGGTTTCCTCCCACACTCCAAAGACATGCTGGTAAGCAGGGACGGACTGACAACTCTTGGAGCCCCCGAGCAATAAGGGTTCATGGGGCCCCTGTGTCCTTGCCCAAACTCAAAAAAGCCTATGAAAAAGGTACCAGGGGCATCTCATGGGGCCCCCTACTGACCCCGGGCCCTCGGGCATCGCCTGAGTTTCCAAATGGTCAGTCCGCCCCTGCTGGTAAGTGAATTGGCTCCTGTCTAAATTGGCCCTAGTATGTGTATGTATGAATGTGAGTTATGGACCTTAGATTGTACGCCCCTAGAGAAGTGGTTCTCAACCTGTGGGTTGCGACCCCTTTGGGGGTCGAACGACCCTTTCACAGGGGTCCCCTAAGACCATCAGAAAACACATATTTCCGATGTGCAAAGAGCAGCTACTGTGTAGAAAGCAGCTGCTGTGTAGAAAGCAGCAGTATTGGAGGTAAAAGGACACTTCATGAATTATAATTACTGGGTAAATAATTTTATGGTTGGGGGTCACCACAACATGAGGAACTGTATTAACGGGTCACGGCATTAGAAATGTTGAGAACCACTGCCCTAGAGGGTTAGGGACTAGGGTCATTGGTTTGAATCCCAACCATGGCACCACCTGTTCTCCCTGTGACTTTGTGGGTTTCCTCCGGGTACTCCGGTTTCCTCCCACACTCCAAAGACATGCTGGTAGGTGAATTGGCTCCTGTCTAAATCTAGTATGTGTATGTATGGATGTGAGTTAGGGACCTTAGATTGTACGCTCCTCGGGGGCGGGGACTGATGTGAATGTACAATATATATGTAAGGCGCTGCGTAAATTGACGGCGCTATATAAGTACATGAAATAAATAAAATAATGATACATTGTGCTTTTATCGGCAGGACTCGCAGCGTTGTACGGATTAACGCGACCATTCGATTTGAGCCGCCGAAAATCAACATTTTCAGTAAAGAGTGCCACAGGAACGGACGGGAAGCCACTTGCATGGCGGCATTCATCTGCTTCTCTCCGATGTTTAAAGCACCCCAGTTCCAGGGGCAGAGTGTGGGTAGGTGACCGCATCCTATGTACTATGCAGAAGGAATGATAAGGAAGGGAGCCATATACAGCCCTTCTTTGGACATTCAGATTATGTACAGTATGAGCAAACTGCTGAGTGACAACAGGCAACCTAAACTCCAGGTCTGATTTTTTTTTTTTTGCATACTTGGCCCAGATTGGCGCAATGTAAGTGTATACATCTCATACCTGAGGGGCTGCTGTAATGGTAATAGCTGGCACTACTAAATGGTAAATGGTTAGCACTTCCGCCTGGCAGTACTCGGGTCGTTGGTTTGAATCCCAACCACGGCACCAACTGCCTGGAGTTTGCATGTTCTCCCTGTGCCTGTGTAGGTTTCCTCCGGGTACTCCAAAGACATGCTGGTAGGTGAATCGGCTCCTGTCTAAATTGTCCCTAGTATGTGTATGTACTGTATGTATGATTGTGAGTTAGGGACCTTTTTGTTTTTTTTTTGTTTTTTTCAACTCTAAACTTTCGGCCTGCAAGTGCTTTTAAATTCTTATTCTCTATAGACAAAGTGCTAAAAAATTATTGCAAATTTTATTAGCAACCCTAGCGTCCTTGGGAATGTAGCCAACCTCCTTGGACTTGGGCACAAGGGGAAAATGGACCCCAGACTGAACAGGGGGATAGCGAGAATGGTAGACAAAGAGCAGCAAGGAAAACTTCCAGGTGATATAAGCTGAACTCCAAAGGTCAAGGTACCCCAGTGTCTGATCGCGCCAGCCGCCATTTTTTTTTTTAGAGACGGCGTGCTTAAAGGAAGAAAACCCAGGAGGATTCCCCTGTTGAAAGACATTAAAAACATTAACATCAAAACACCAGACTGGAAAGTGCATATTGACAAGCCACAATGCTCATGGGGGACAGGGTCGCCTTATCGCATTGGCACCCCTTGTTTTTTAATTAGCTGTCTTTGTTTGGACCTATGGCCCAAGATCGGAGCTCTGGGGACAGCTGCAATACTGTGTGGTGCCCAACACCTAGAGTGGCAGTGGGGTGCTGGGCGCTGGAACTCTCTCTGTAAGGAGTGATGTAGAGCCCAATATGCAGAGCGGCAGGGCGCTGGAAGCCTCTCCGTGTATCAGCACCCAACACAGGAAGGAAGACTGAACTGGGGGCGGAGTTAACTCCACCCCATAGGTACATGTTAGTCTGGTTGAAAAAAGACAAAAGTCCATCCAGTTCAACCATTAAAAAAAAAAAGTTATAATCTACACCCACAGTTGATCCAGAGGAAGGCAAAAAACCCAGCAAATTATGATCCAATTTGCTCCTGCAGGGGAAAAATTTCCTTCCTGATCCCCAGTGCAAGCAAAGTCCTGAACCAGGAGAGAAGAGCGTGGGGGCTTGTGATCATGTACAGTAAGTGATCACAATGGGGGAGAGGGCTGTGATTGAGGGAAGGGTTACCATTGATTACCTTTACCATTGATGCAGGCGTGGGGGATGGGGTAACTTTCACTGCCATTACTACTAATGCATGAGTGGGGGATGGAGGGTTAACTTTCACTGCCTCTGACCCCTTCTCATTTTGTGGTCAGTGGCAGTGAAATTTAACCAGCCCAAGCCCACAACCACCTGCAATGGTGGTCATGGTAGTGAAATGTAAACCGATCTTCCCTCCTTCTGCAATGGTGGTCATGGTGGTGAAATGTAAACCCATCCTCCCTCCTTCTGCAATGGTGGTCATGGTAGTGAAATGTAAACCCCTCCTCCCTCCTTCTGCAATGGTGGTCATGGTAGTGAAATGTAAACCCATCCTCCCTCCTTCTGCAATGGTGGTCATGGTAGTGAAATGTAAACCCCTCCTCCCTCCTTCTGCAATGGTGGTCATGGTAGTGAAATGTAAACCCATCCTCCCTCCTTCTGCAATGGTGGTCATGGTAGTGAAATGTAAACCCATCCTCCCTCCTTCTGCAATGGTGGTCATGGTAGTGAAATGTAAACCCATCCTCCCTCCTTCTGCAATGGTGGTCATGGTGGTGAAATGTAAACCCATCCTCCCTCCTTCTGCAATGGTGGTCATGGTAGTGAAATGTAAACCCATCCTCCCTCCTTCTGCAATGGTGGTCATGGTAGTGAAATGTAAACCCATCCTCCCTCCTTCTGAAATGGTGGTCATGGTGGTGAAATGTAAACCCACCCTCCCACCTTCTGCAATGGTGGTCATGGTAGTGAAATGTAAACCCATCCTCCCTCCTTCTGAAATGGTGGTCATGGTGGTGAAATGTAAACCCACCCTCCCACCTTCTGCAATGGTGGTCATGGTAGTGAAATGTAAACCCTCCCCTTCTGCAACCCACCCTCCCTCCTTCTGCAATGGTGGTCATGGTGAAGAAATGTAAACCCACCCTCCCTCCCTCCTTCTGCAATGGTGGTCATGGCAGTGAAATGTAACCCCCCATCCCTGCCACACCCACTTTTTGATGCTAAGCATGCCACAGGTCACCATCTCCCTGATAGGGGCCCTTATTGCATTGTTTTGCCAAGGGGCCCATGATGCTATTAATACAGGCCTGCCGGGGAAGCATGACCTTTAGATAAAAAAACAGTAGAGACAGAACTGGAGCTTTTTGGCAAGTCACATCAGCTCTATGTCCACAGATGAAGAACACTGTGCCTAGTACCGGGACAGGTTCATCCAGCGCCCATGGCAATAATGCGGAGCTGTGCCCCTCCCCCACTGCTAATGCTTGTTGTGGAATGGGTGTACCACCCTATGTTCATTTTCTGCCCCCCTGTTCTGCTGCACGGCAGCTGTCCCTACTGCCCAACCCTTGTCCCGGCCCTGACTGTGCCTACTGTCACGCTCCTTTGTTTTGGGGCTGCTTTGCTGCATTTGGCATGGGGTACCTTCAGTCTGTGCCGGGCACAATGAAATCCCAAAACTATTGAGTAATTCTGGAGTGACATGTACAGTACTATTCCGTGGCGGAAAGCTCTGTCTCCTTTGCAGGTCATGGGTCATCCTAGATCAGGGGTGTCAAACTGGCGGCCCTCCAGCTGTTGAGAAACTAGTCCCATTGTGCCTCTGCCTTTGGGAGTCATGCTTGTAACTGTCAGTCTTGCAATGCCTCATGGGACTTGTAGTTTGGCAACAGCTGGAGGGCCACCAGTTTGACACCCGTGCCCTAGAGGATACTGACCCAAAATGTACATCTAAAAGCACCCACAAATGTCTAAGAGCAAAAAAGTCGAACTATTCTGAATTGGCCTTATATAAGTTGAATCTATTGAACATCTGTGGAAAGAGCTGAAAATGAAGTCTGGAGAAGGTACCCTTCAAACCTGAGACAGCTGGAGCAGGGGCGGACTGACCATTGGGGAACTCGGGCACTGCCTGAGGGCCCGGGGCCAGTAGGGCCATGAGGCATTGTAAGATTGAATGTTACAAGCATGACTCCCAAAGGCATGATGGTACCTGTAGTTTTGCAACAGCTGGAGGGCCACCAGTTTGACACCCCTGACCAAGATCATCCAGAGAACCAAAACACTTGTAGAGACCTTATGAGCATGACTGCATACTTACCTCGGTCCCGGGGCGGACTGACCATTTGGGCTCTCGGGCACTGCCCGAGGGCCCGGGGTCAGTAGGGGGTCCCATGAGATCTCCCTGGTACCTTTCATAGGCTTTTTTGGGTGTGGTTTGAGTGTGGGCAAGGACACAGGGGCCCCATGATCCCCTGTTGCCCGGGGGCCCCATGAGTTGTCAGTCCGCCCCTGAGCTGGAGCAATTTGCTCAAGGAGAGTGGGCAAGAAAACTCTGTTGTTAGGTACAGAAGTCTCATTGGGAGCTGCAGAAATTGGTTGTACAACAAAATATTAGTTGAAGGCTCCCATCATTCTTGTCCATGCCATTTTCATTTGTTTTACTCTTCAAGAAATGCTGTTCAATCAAAATATAAAGGTCAAAATATGGAATAAATGGTGTACAAGGGAAACGTGACAGGATATGGGACCCATGGCTCACTACTCTTGGCATGCCCACGCATTATTTAAAAGTCAACAGCCTACATAGATTTAGAAGGGGACCAGTTTTCTGCCAGGAGGCTGTGAAATCTAGATGACCAGTTGGAACCTCGAATGGAACAATCATAGACGAGTGTTGACAGCCGGTGTTGATGGCCGGACCCCAGGGTGCCACTAACCCGTTCTTGTATTTCTTTGGTTGTATCTCTGTATCATATATCCAAATCTCACTTTATATCCCGTGATTCTGTGGAAATGGGATACTCTGTTAGATTGTTTGACATGTCACTCTAACATCTGAAATATTTGGAAGTCTGTAATGTCGGTTGATGCACCTTTAGGTAAAAGTCAAGTTAAAAAAAGAGACATGGAACAATGATGAATGCCAATTAGTTTTCTCAGTTTTAAGATATTTCAAAGAAAATTGTGGTTCTCTTTTTTTTTTTTTTTTGATAGAAGGGTACCAACAAAGTCGTCCGCGGCTGTAGGTCTCTTACCTGTACATATGTTCGTTCTAGTCTACTTTACCGCTCTATAGATGCTTTTCTTGGCTGAGAATGGTCCGAAAAAGAGAAAATATCCAGTGAACTGCAGTTGTGTGGACAAAAATGCCTTGTTGAGGTCAGAGGAGAATGGGCAGACTGGTCCGAGATGATAGAAAGGCAATAGTAACTAAACCACTCGTTACAACCAAGGCATGCAGAATACCGTCTCTGAACGCACAACCTTGAAGCTAAGAACAGGAAACGTGGGCTACAATTCCCACAGGCTCACCAAAATTGGATATTGTATCAGTGGGAGGAATAGTGCCCCATCATTGGTGTCAGTGGGAGGAATAGTGCCCCATCAGTGGTATCAGTGGGAGGAATAGTGCCCCATCATTGGTGTCAGTGGGAGGAATAGTGCCCCATCATTGGTGTCAGTGGGAGGAATAGTGCCTCATCATTGGTATCAGTGGGAGGAATAGTGCCCCATCATTGGTATCAGTGGGAGGAATAGTGCCCCATCATTGGTGTCAGTGGGAGGAATAGTGCCCCATCATTGGTATTAGGGGGAGGAATAATGCCCCATCATTGGTGTCAGTGGGAGGAATAGTATCCCATCATTGGTGTTAGTGGGAGGAATAGTGCCCCATCATTGGTGCCAGTGGGAGGAATAGTGCCCCATCATTGATATCAGTGGAAGGAATAGTGCCCCATCATTGGTGTCAGTGGAAGGAATAGTGCCCCATCATTGGTGTCAGTGGGAGGAATAGTGCCCCATCATTGGTGTCAGTGGGTGGAATAGTGGCCCATCATTGGTGTCAGTGGGAGGAATAGTGCCCCATCATTGGTGTCAGTGGGAGGAATAGTGCCTCATCATTGGTGTCAGTGGGAGGAATAGTTCCTCATCTTTGGTGTCAGTGGGAGGAATAGTGCCCCATAATTGGTATCAGTGGGAGGAATAGTGTCCCATCATTGGTGTTGGTTGGATGAATAGTGCCCCATCATTGGCATCAGTGGGAGGAATAGTGCCTTATTATTGGTATAAGTGGGAGGAATAGTGTCTCATCATTGGTGTCAGTGGGAGGAATAATGCCCATCCTTGGTATCAGTGGGAGGAATAGTGTCGAATTGGTGTAGTGGGAGGAATAGTGTCCCATCATTGGTGTCAGTGGGAGGAATAATGTCCCATCCTTGGTATCAGTGGGAGGAATAGTGTCGTATCATTGGTGTCAGTGGGAGGAATAGTGTCCCATCATTGGTGTCAGTGGGAGGAATAGTGTCCCATCATTGGTGTCAATGGGAGGAATAGTGCCTCATCCTTGGTGTCAGTGGGAGGAATAGTGCCCCATCATTGGTGTCAATGGGAGGAATAGTGCCTCATCCTTGGTGTCAGTGGGAGGAATAGTGCCCCATTGTTGGTGTCAGTGGAAGCAATAGTGCCCCAATAAAGACAAGCAAAGGGCCACAGTTTGGAGACCACTACCCTAGAATGATGTTTGAGCCCAAGTGAGTAACCAATTGCTGCGTGCCTGGCTGCTGCTGCTGCTGCACTACTCTGGGAGAGGAACCTGTGGCAATCAGCGGCTCCTGTGCAGGTAGCGCTACATGTGTACAGTGAATACAGCAGTTGTTCTCAACCAGGGTTCCTCCAGAGGATTATGGGATATATGTGTTTGTTCTAGCTTGGTGTGGGGTGTTTCCGGCAGCCCTTCCCCCTAATGGGACGGCCTGCTGATGTGTTTCATGTTACTGGGTGTATTGCCCCGCCCTGGGTATATATCTTGTATCTCTGTTAAAATAAAGCAGTCCACTTCCTGTTTTAAGACAAGTCTGGTGCTGTTTCGTCTTGTATGGCCAGCGGTGGTGTCCGTGGATCTGTGTTCGGACAGGGAAGGGGGAGTCTAACGGAAATACCCAAGTGCAGTCTGGGTCCGGTTCCGTTACACATGGTATGGGCCCTCTCCTGCTTGTGTACCGTATGAAGCAATTTGTATTAGCAGGTTTGTGTTTTCACTTTTAATGCCGCTCAGAATATGTTTTTACTGCCATAATTGTGACGGATGTATTTGTATCCTTTAGGCATCAAATACAATGTGACCATTGATGAGCGTCGATACACCCCCCGTGCTGTGATTGATGACATCGGAGGAGACAAGCACTTCATTGAAACCATCAGAGCCACAAGTGGGCACAGTCAGTGCCAGCAGCTCAATTTCCACGTTCTGGTGGGTTTCTTTATTTTTTTAATTAATTGGTCCGGGGTCCGGGGTCCGGGGTTTAGTATACACGACGAGAATATCAGATGAACCATCCATTTTTTTTTATTTTTTATTTTTGCACGCTAGTCTCACAACGAAAGTGCAGAGGTTACTAAAAACATGAAAATTTTTGTCCAAAAATGATGCATTGCATTTGTATTGTATTTTCGGACAAAAACTGCGCAGATTAAATGAAAATCGTACGTTCTGGTATCTTGTCCTCTTCCAATAATTTCGGACATAAGCTGCATGCTAACGATCAGACTATCGTACGATCACTTCGAAGGTGGTATATTTTTTGGACGATTTCCTGACCTTCGTCTGCAGGATGAAGGAGACCTCTTTGGTGGACCTCGCCTATAGTTGAGATTTAGGTTCAGGTTTGTAGACGCCTCAGTTTGCAAGTCAAGTTCAATAAAGGATTTCTTAATTCGTTCTCATTGATCCTTTCTGATGATATTAGAATTACGCCCCCAGAGAAATTAGAAAGTCAATTTTTTTTTTTGGACGATTTTCTGACCTTGTCTGCAGGATGAAGAAGACTTCTTTGGTGGACCTCACCTATAGTTGAGATTGAGGCTTTAGGTTTGTAGACGCCTCAGTCTGCAAGTCAAGTTCTATAAAGGATTTCTTAATTCGTTCTCATTGAACCTTTCTGATGATATTAGAATTACGCCCCCAGAGAAATTAGAAAGTAAATTTTTTTTTGGATGATTTTCTGACCTTCGTCTGCAGGATGAAGAAGACCTCTTTGGTGGACCTCGTCTATAGTTGAGATTTAGGTTTCAGGTTTGTAGACGCCTCAGTTTGCAGGTCAAGTTCTATAAAGGATTTCTTATTGTCTCATTGATCCTTTCTGATGATATTAGAATTACGCCCCCAGAGAAATTAGAAAGTCAATTTTTTTTTTTGGACGATTTTCTGACCTTTGTCTGCAGGATGAAGAAGACTTCTTTGGTGGACCTCACCTATAGTTGAGATTGAGGCTTTAGGTTTGTAGACGCCTCAGTCTGCAAGTCAAGTTCTATAAAGGATTTCTTAATTCGTTCTCATTGATCCTTTCTGATGATATTAGAATTACGCCCCCAGAGAAATTAGAAAGTCAATTTTTTTTTGGATGATTTTCTGACCTTCGTCTGCAGGATGAAGAAGACCTCTTTGGTGGACCTCGCCTATAGTTGAGATTTAGGTTTCAGGTTTGTAGACGCCTCAGTTTGCAGGTCAAGTTCTATAAAGGATTTCTTATTGTCTCATTGATCCTTTCTGATGATATTAGAATTACGCCCCAGAGAAATTAGAAAGTCAATTTTTTTTTTGGACGATTTTCTGACCTTTGTCTGCAGGATGAAGAAGACTTCTTTGGTGGACCTCACCTATAGTTGAGATTGAGGCTTTAGGTTTGTAGACGCCTCAGTCTGCAAGTCAAGTTCTATAAAGGATTTCTTAATTCGTTCTCATTTATCCTTTCTGATGATATTAAAATTACGCCACCAGAGAAATTAATAAGTCGATTTTTTTTTCAGGTGCCCAAAAGCCCAAGCAAGCCTAAATCCTTGGCGGCCCTCTTAGCTCTCACCGATTCTTAACACTTCTTATTTCCCTAACACTAACCTGTCCCTCCCAATAATTGTAATACTTTTGCTACCCCCAACGCTGAAACTAATGCCAGCCATAGACGGTTTGAAAATCGGTCGATTTTTTGTCCGAAAGATTTTTTTTCGTCGATTTTCGCACTGTTAGTGGGTTAATTCGTCGGCTGGTTTTTTGCGTTTTTTCCACTTTTGGATTATCGGTCATGTTGGAAAATTTGTGGAAAACGACCGATTTTCGCGTCAATGATGGTCAAATCGTACGATCGTTTTGCCGAAAAAAAAAAAAAAAAATGCGCATGAGCCGTGACCTGAAAAATGACATCATTTCCTGTTATATCTCATGATTTTTATGACTTGGTTGGCTGATTTTCGTAATAATTAGTGGTTACGCCGGTTTAACGAACGACCGATGTTTCATTTATCGGACGAAAAACCGCCCAGTTTTCGAGCCGTCTATGGCCTGCATAAAGCCGACCATACGCGGGTCGAATTCTGAAAGTATTTTCTTTCAAAAATCTTTTCCAAGAATTTTCGTTCAAATTTCGCACCATTAGTAGGTCACCCAGAAACGTCTGATTTTCGAGCGGCTATCGAATTCGAGTGATCTGGCATGTTGGAAATTTTTTGCAAAATGAACAAATTTCTAATCAATGATGCGAGAATTATAATCGAAAAAGAAACAAGCGTGAACTGTGACCTGGAAGGAAAGAAAATTCTTATCTGTAACATATAAAATTGAAGGCTTGGTTGGTCGAATTTCGAAATCAATGGATATCAAAATGCACACAAATTCAGATTTTCTAAAGAATTGGAATTCGACCCGTGTATGGCCTGCTTTAGCTTGATAACTAATCCTGAAAATGAACCCTTATGCAGGCCATAGACGGGTCGAAAACCGTCCGTTTTAAAAAAAAAACAAAAAACTGAAAAATCGGTCGTTCAATAGGCCGACGTTACCACCAACGGTAAAAAAAATCGGGTGATTTTCGTCCCATCTACGGCTCATGTCCCGCAGAGAGCTCCGCTATTATTTTTTTATGCAACAATGTATCCATTTGTATCCATTTCGGAACGATTGGCCGATTTGCCAATCATTGCCATATAAAAAATCTGCAAACGCCGATGCTTTTCTTTTCTTCTGCAAAATCGGCTCATGCGCCGATTTTTTTTCCAACTTTACCGATCGGCAAAAAAAAAAAATGTGCTAAAACCCCGAAAAAAGCGGCTGACCGATTAACCCACTAACAGTGCAAAAATCGGCCGATTTTTTTTTTTTCGCCCGAAAAATCAGCCGATTTTCGACCCATCTATGGCCTGCATTAACGCCTAACCTTTCAACACTGAACCAAACCCTGCAACATAAAAAAACATAAAAAGCTATATTAAACCCAAAACCAAAAATATAATATACTGTAGAGTACTAATCATTAGATGTGGTGGCTGCATTTGTTTTTTTTTTTTTTTTTTAGACTTATTATGCTCCCCAATCCACAGATGCCATCCATCCTGCAGGGATCGTCGGCATGCAACCTATACGACCTCCACGAATAGGTAAGTTGTAAAGAAAGCCGACGATCCCCGCAGGATGGATCGTCGGCTTGCTTTACAACTTACCTTTTCATGGAGCGGGTCCGGTGTCACCCCCGTGCGGTCGGTGTCACCCGGTGCAGGCTGCACCCCCAGCACCTGCCTCGGGGCGCCACTGTCTCTCTGGACTGTTCTGAAATACTGAGATGTCTAACTGTCTGTAAGTTCTTTTTTGCAAAATAACAATAAAGAATTATAAAAAACAAAACGGGACAGGGATTTGATGTCACACACTGCATAGCATAGAGCAGAGAGCTGAGTGTAATCTGAGACCTGAGTGGAGGGAATGAACACACCCCCTCTACACAGTCCCATAGGGAAGCATGCACAGCTGAAGCTGTCATTCACAGGCTGTGTGCTGGAGTTCCCATGTCTTCCTGGATCCCTGTCAGTCAGCATAACCTGTCAGAACCAGCTCATGCAGATAGCAGAGGAAGGAGACAGAAGTCACACTTGGTGCTTTGGATTGAGGCAAGTACATGCTATAGAAGGACATACTTTGTTCATTTTTCATTTGAGAGGTTTACAGCTGCTTTAAGGATGGCTTAAGTTAGAGTATTACATTTGGAGTCCTATGTGGTATATTCCTTTTTTTTATATATATATATGTTCCTTCTCCTCTCTAGGACACAGCAGACTACGTGAAGCCAATCACCTTTTCTCTGGAGTATGAGCTGGCATTTCCTGACCAGGGACCAGTACTAGAGGAAGGATGGCCATCATCTCTCAAAGCATCGGTAAGCATGAAAACAAAACAACAGATGTGATCGAAAGGAAACCGTTCACTTATATGAATCTACAGGCCTTCGGAGTATGATGAAGTATGGGGGGGGGTATTTACTAAAACTGGTGCCCTCAGAATCTGGTGCAGCTTAGCATGGTAGCCAGTTAGCTTCAGCTTGTTCTATTAAGCTTTGGCAATAAAACCCGGAAGCTGATTGGTTTCTATGCAGAGCGGCACCAGATTTTGAGTTTTGGGTCCTCCTGAAGCGCTGTACAGCCAGGCAACATGCATTTTCTTCCACGTTGTGCACACTGGAGTCAGTAAACAGTCCTTGAGCTTGGTTTTGTTGGTTTTAATAAGGGGTTAACAACTTGGATGGGGTCTAGGGGTATATGGGATGTCCAAGGAAACTGTAAAATTCAGGACAATTTAGAGCAACTATGAACAAAAATGTGGACAAAAATAGTCTTTCCTCTAAGAGCATCCAAAGGTGTACCTCCTCAGACCCCAGATGAATCCTTCTCTTCTCCCAGCTGCCTGAGGGTATCCCTAGGCAAAGGGGCCCAAGAGCTGTAGTTCTAGGACTGTCTTGGATGAAGACTAGTTGGGTCTTGTACCTGATCGCCCCCTCTCCACTTATCTGGCCCAGATGTAGGAGTACTCACTCTGTCTTCCCCTGTTTGCTTGGTGGGTTGGTGGCTGCCTTCAGGCCTTATTCTGGGCTGGCTCCTTCTCTGCTTCCTAGGCCATCCTCCCAAGGAGACGATGGGACATCCTCTAGAATCCTGCCTGCAGATGGGCCCCCTCCAAGGCTCCTCACTCAAGCCTTCCTCTCAGTCCATCTTCCACCCGACACTGCCCTGACTCCTCCCAGGCTCTGTGATACTTAAGGGTTGCCTTGGTCACAATGCGCAGCCTCCTGCCAGGGGATTGGCCAAGGTCCCTCAAGCATGCAGCTCTGAGGCTACTCCCCTCCTCCATTCCTCCTCCAGAAAGCTCTCAGGTTTCTGGAGAGGTGGGAGGGCTCCAGAACCTCTGACCTTCAGAACCTCCCTAACCTGTCCTGAGGTGAACTCACTCCCAGGCTGCTACTCAGCCGCTGCCTAAAAAGAGATCAAACCAGCCTGTCTGGCTAACTTGAAGGGCATTCCATAGATAACCCCCCTATGTTTTTTTGACTAGTGTTGAATTTGTCAGCCTTTATTGGTACATACTAAACAAATTTCTGACAGTCAATGTGGTTTTCTTTTGGGCGTTGCCATTTGTTCCAAAATCAAATGTTAAAAGCAACATCAATTTGGAAGCATTTTCAAAATCTTTATTGGTCAAGTATGGTCAAGTATGGTCAAGTATGGTCAAGTATCTGATGACGTTTTGAATGTCCTGCGAGAATTTTCATACAAATGTTCCTACGGAGATCTACCATTGTATGGCTAGCTTCATTCTGCACTGCTCCATCCGATGCTAATGATGTAGAGCATCCAATGATGTCATCTCTTGGCTGAGCGCTCGTCTTCTGAGCCATTCTGCTGAGTACGCTCATTCAGCCATAGACATCAGGGAGTGGTTAGCAGGCTCTAGGAATTGACATCACATTCTCCATTACAATGCCAATTTGTATAGTATGTTTCTGCGTGTTTTTAGATCTTCAAAGGGTCTTCCCACCCAAAACTCATCATTTAATTATGGATTAATAAAGGCTGTTTAAGGTCCTCAGGGACTTCAGTAATGAGATCTTTGAACCCAAATCTCCACCAAAGCCATTACTATCTAGTTTTTCTCTCACTGTCGAACTTTTCCATTTGGATACTTAGCCTGATTCCACTTTTCAATACTCGCCTCCTCTTCTGTTTTCCTCGTATCTACCTCAGACTCACCAGATCTGCCGTCCAGAGCTGGTCGTCTTCCCGGCCGAATGACACCCAGCATCATTCGACCCACTTTCTGTGAACGGAGGGCGTCAGGACGAGGGTGGGGAGCTCACCATGCGATCCTGTGTTCACGGTACAATGATGCAGAGAGAACGGCATTGATATCAAGTTGGCAACATTCTCTGCATCATTGAGGACATCGAAGGAGCAGAGAACGGACCTGGAGAACCCTCCAAGTCTAATGTCCAGTCTAAAGACTTCTGTAAAATGTTAAACAGGAAAAAAATTGGGGGGGGGGGGTCACCAGTGATAGGGGGAAGGTCTAGGGGGTGACATTTGGCTGTAAGAGTGATCCCCCACAGGGGTGGACTGACAACTCATGGGGCCCCTCGGTAATAGGAGATCATGGGGCCCCTGTGTCCTTGCCCACACCCAAAAAAGCCTATGGAAAAAGCCAAAGAAAGGTACCAGGGGCATCTCATGGAGCCCCCTACTGACCCCGGGCCCTCGGGCATGCCCGAGTGCTCGAATAGTCAGTCCGCCCCTGATCCCCCATGACTTGGAAGAGATACCTGACAAGGGGAGCCAGTTCTGCTCCAAGCTCCAGTAGAAGCCAATACAGGTCCTCATCGCCAGAATCTGAAATGGTGGTCTGATCCCCCGGGGATTTGTATTGGTATGTATGATCACTTTTTTTTATGTTCTACGCAAAAGATGGTCAGAGACTGCAGACATGACACAAGAGATGGTCAGAGACTGCAGACATGATACAAGAGATTGTCAGAGACTGCAGACATGACACAAGAGATAGTCAGAGACTGCAGACATGACACAAGAGATGGTCAGAGACTGCAGACATGATACAAGAGATGGTCAGAGACTGCAGACATGATACAAGAGATGGTCAGAGACTGTGGACATGATACAAGAGATGGTCAGAGACTGAGGACATGACACAAGAGATGGTCAGAGACTGAGGACATGACACGAGATGGTCTGAGACTGCAAACATGATACAAGAGATGGTCAGAGACTGCAGACATGATACAAGAGATGATCTGAGACTGCAGACATGATACAAGAGATGGTCAGAGACTGCAGACATGACACAAGAGATGGTCAGAGACTGCAGACATGACACAAGAGATGGTCAGAGACTGCAGACATGATACAAGAGACGGTCAGAGACTGCAGACATGATACAAGAGATGTTCTGAGACTGCAGACAAGATACGGGAGATGGTCAAAGACTGCAGAAATCATACAAGAGACAGTCAGAGACTGCAGACATGATACAAAAGATGGTCAGAGACTGCAGACATGATACAAAAGATGGTCAGAGACTGCAGACACAATACAATAGATGGTCATAGACTGCAGACATGATACAAGAGATGGTCAAAGACCAGGAACATGATAAAAGGAGATGGTCGGAGACTGCAGACATGATACAAGAGATGGTCAGAGACTGCAAACATGATACAAGAGATGGTCAGAGACTGCGGACATGATACAAGAGACGGTCAGAGACTGCAGACATGATACAAGAGATGGTCATAGACTGCAGACATGATACAAGAGATGGTCAAAGACCAGGAACATGATAAAAGGAGATGGTCAGAGACTGCAGACATGATACAGGAGATGGTCAGAGACGGCAAACATGATACAAGAGATGGTCAGAGACTGCGGACATAATACAAGAGACGGTCAGAGACTGCAGACATGATACAAGAGATGGTCAGAGACTGCAAACATGATACAAGAGATGGTCTGAGACTGCAGACATGCTGCAGGATATAGCTAGAGGCTGTGAACATGCTATAGGAGTTAGAGGCTGGGGACATGCTGCAGGAAACAGTCATACAGACTGGAGACATATTACCTGAGACTGCTAGAAATCATAGCTTTAAAAGTGCAATAAGGAAACACAGATTAGTGTCTGCAGGGGCCCTGAAGTCCACAGAAAAAGTGCCAAAGGGCTGCATGTGGCCCTCGGGCCACAGTTTGGGCACTGGGGCTGTAGACTGTACTGCTGTCTATAGGTGTCTTGGTTGCTCCTCCATCCACAGCGGACACACCCTATGACAGGAGGTGTGTTACTGGCAGGATCATCAGGTAAAAATAAAGGGGAAAAAAAGAAAACGAATGCAGCCGCCACATCCAATGACTGGTAAGCTGCAATATATTACCTTGTTGTTTTTTGGGTTTCATACCACTTTGACACTCTAGACTTCTGAGTTCCAGGATAATTGTGCTCCTTTTCCTCAATAACCTCAATGTTTAAATGAAATATCTCTAATTGCGTTAAACTGTCATTTTCAGTATTTTCCAACATTGTTGCATTTTTTGTTCCTTATGTACTATAACTAGATTTTCATGGTTTCTGTGAACCCAATACCAATATTCTGATGGTATTAAAAATGTTTTTTTTTATGCTTAGTTCTGCATATATTGCCATTTTCTGTGCCTTCATTATATGGCGACCCCGCTAATCCCCACTTATGTGCAAAAAAATGTCGATCTATACCGCAGTCTCTGCAACGGATTATTTTCTTACGAAATGTAATCCCCCCTCACTCCTTTATGAAGTGTTGCTCAATCATGGCAGATGTAGTTTTCTAAAAAAAATAAAACAAAGGAAAAAAAATGTGTTTGGTACTTATAGTATATGGCAGTGGTCTCCAAACTGCGGCCCGGGGGCCAGATGCGGCCCTTTGCTTTTTTTCTGGTCCTTGGGGCATTATTTCCTCCACCATCAGCAACAGTGGGGCCGCCTTCAATACCAACAATGGGGACCTATTCCTTCCATGTCTGTTGGAGAAACAGTGCCCCATTGTTGGCATCTGTTGGAGAAATGGTGCCCCATTGTCGGCGTCTGTTGGAGAAATGGTGCCCCATTGTTGGCGTCTGTTGGAGAAATGGTGCCCCATTGTTGGCATCTGTTGGAGAAATGGTGCCCCATTGTTAGCGTCTGTTAGAGAAACGGTGCCCCATTGTTGGCGTCTGTTGGAGAAATGGTGCCCCATTGTTGGCATCTGTTGGAGAAATGGTGCCCCATTGTTAGTGTCTGTTGGAGAAAATTTGCCCCATTGTTGGCGTCTGTTAGAGAAATGATGCCCCATTGTTGGCGTCTGTTGGA